GTAGGATAGAACATATACGATCATATATGCGTCATATATGTTTGTATATGATTCATATATTATTGTATGCGATCCCATACAAAAATTTGTTCCCGGGTTGTTATATATATGGCATATATGATCTTGAAGGCTCCATATACAATCCATATAAGATCATATACGTTCCATATATGAATTATATAAGGCCAATTTCCCATATACGATCATGTACGACAAATTTCCCCAGGAACCTATTCGCTTATAATTATTTCACGTACTTCTGGATTATTCTTGATACGCATGTGGGTTTCCAAATAATAGGTTGAAGTGTGTTGTTCTTGTGGTACGATGAGGTGTTTCGCTGAGATATTGTTGGGCAACTTAAAGATATTTGCACCATTCATTTGCTTTGAGTGGGTTATTAGAGGGATGACAGTTCGATTGACGCGCTCTACTTGCCCATTACCTCTTGGGACTCCTGTGGTGATCTTGATATGTTTGATTTTCTCTTTTTTGCAGTAGTTAGTGAACATGTTTAATATAAGTGCCGTGTCACGATCCGAAATTATTCTGCGTGAGTTGCCGAATACTTATGTTTGTTTCTTCATTCTATCGATGACCTCAGCAGTATCGATGAATCGAGTCACTTACAACCATAAAAACTTTGTGAATGAGTCAATAACTACAAATACATGTTTATAAAGTTTCTTAGTTGAGATGGTATTGGGCCTAGATGATCGATATGATAAGTGCCTTATAGTGTTCTGCCCTTATTGATTAGATTAAGAAATCCTTCATGTTTGCCGTGCTTTCTTTCACTCAATATGCATTTCACACAAATACTTTTCACTTGCTCAACTTTTGCACGCATATTTTTTTAAACCAATAATCCAAAAGAATTAGTGCTTCAGTATTATTTATTCCGAAGTGGTCACGTTCGTTAGTACGTCGAATTATCTGCATTTGCATTCAATCAGGGATGACAGTTAATGGTTCATGTTTAATAATCTTATACAATAAGTTTTTTTTCATTATATATTGTTCATTGAGTTTATCATTCTGTATCAATTCAACAATTCGTTTCATTTGTTCTGTATACATAAATCTTTTTTCCGCAATGTCATTGAAAATGCTTGACAGTCGGTGATAAGTTTAAGCTGGACGCCTAATAAGTATACTCTGAACTTTTTTAAGGACTTTACGATTGCAAAAACTTCCAACTCGTAACTGGAGTATTTTTCTTCGGCTCCGATAGTATTGCCACTGGCACTATAAACTGGGTGAAACTGGTCACCATTCGCGGCTTTTTGCATCAAAATCGCACCGTAGCCTTGTCTTGATACGTCAGTATGCAGTTGCGTCTCATTTTTTGCGCAATAAAGTTTAAGGACCCGAATTTTACATAAAGCAGCTTTTAAGTTTTCTTCATGACCGAATTGAGATTTGCCCTCAATAGATAAGATAAAGGGCGGACTAAGAACGCATATCCGTATATAAATTTTCTGAAATATCCAGGTGGGTTCAAAAAACTTCAGATATCTTTAATATTTTTAGGTTGGAAAAAGTTTACAACGGTTTTTACTTTATTGCTAGATGCTTTTAACGTCCTTTTTTCTACCACATGACCGAAGTATCCAATTCTATTCTATAAGAATTGACATTTTTCCCAGTTGATAACATGACCGAATTGACCTGCAATTGTGGTCTTTTGTAAGTATGATTATATCATCCATGTCAGTTAAAACTATCCGTTTGGCTATAAATTCCTGATAAACTTGCGTTGATAAACTTCTAAAAAGCCGACGGTGAATTACAAAGGCCGAAGGCCTTATATTGACCAATATTGTTACGTCTTGTAAAAGATCCAATTGCTCCTTTATTAATGGTAATGGATGTCTGTCTTTTATTTTTTTCTTATTCAATGCCCGATAGTCAAGACAAACTCGCGTTTACAGTTTTTGTCCTTTACAAGGACTATGGGTCCGTGATATTCGGAAATTGATGGGCGAGCGATTCTCTCTTCGATCAACGAATTTACAATTTCGTCGACTTCTCAGCGTTCAATAGGCGACAGTCCTCACGGACGGGAATCGACTGGGATTGCATCCTTGAGAACTAGTTTCATCTTGATACCGACTTCACGCGATTTTTCTGGCTCGTAACTATTTATAGACTCTAATACTTTGTCACAGAGTTGGTCGTCCTCAAGATGCAATAAGTCAACGATTGGAAAGTTGTTGGTAACATTAATATGAAATATCTCTAGACATATAAACTCAGTAGTATTTTCATTAGCATTACAGCAAGAATTTCTTCGATTTGAGAATACCTAACTTCTGCTGTACATGTTCCTACAACAGTCGATTTATATATGTCCATGCGAGTATCGTGTTCCTCTTCACTTTTAATTTCTTGTGTAAACTCACATTTCGAACACTGCATTATGACCATTGTTTTTAATCCATCTCGTTTGGATTCAATAATATTCAAATGCTTCAATTGACACTAAACGTCTGGAGAATGATCATCAAACTTTTCGTGCAGTTGATCAAACATATACATAAAATCAACAATTCTGCGACCCTCAATAAGTGGTCGTTTTACTTTTTCTTCATCTTCGGGAGTAATTTTATCATTTTCTTCTGAAGATTTGTTTACGGATGCCTCGTAGTTTTCTTTCAAAAATTTTGCAACACGCTGAATACGCACTCTTCAATTAAATGATGTATAATATCATTTTTGTAGTATTCTTTAAAATCATTATTTAAATATTTGTACTTACATTTTTTTCAATTTTTGTTGTCGACTTGGTGCTTTTACGCCAGCCCACATCTTGTAACTTTTGCCACAATGGTTTTTACGCGTTAGTTTCGTAATATAAAAATTAACGAGTGCTAACTTTAATTAAAACAATGACATTAATTTTATCGCGATAAACTTTAATTTCAATAACTCAAAAAACTCGAACAATATATAAACGTTTTTTAAAATATGCACTTTAATTGTTAAATATCAATGTTATCATAACTAATTTTTCAAATTTAGTACTGAATTGAAAAAAAAAGTGTTCAGACTGTGTCTCTATTTAAAACTTTTATTGTTGCCAATATCAACAAACATTATAAATAATAAATGACAGTATATATGTGAACGAAAATAAGAATCATAAAATTCTTTTAGGCAATAAATACCTACTATCCAAATTACTGTGTCTGCAGTTACAGATGTCCGATATGAAATTCATTAACTTCATATTAATTTGTAATAAGCTAATGAATAGCTAGTAATAGCATAACTAGTAAAAAAGAATTACTATGATCTCATGTCGGATAAAAGAGTTCATAAAGATTTAAAGGTCACTATTTTTTAGTCTTCAGAGAACTTTGAACTTTATTAACTCTGCCGAAGTGCATAGAGTTGTATTTTTCGCCACTTTAAAAAGCTATAGATGTCAATTACATGACTGATCTAGTGCAAAAATTATTTTGCTATTTTAAAATAATGTGATAAGTTAATAAAAAATAATGTTAATTTCTTATATTTGTTTATTATTCTTTTTTTTTTGCAACTTAATGAAAAAAAACATTTTTTTTACGTATATCGTCTACGGATCGTACATTCTACCTTTTTCTAAAATTTCATGCAGATAATACCACCAGAACATGGAAATTTGAAGACTCCTTATTTTTGGCCAATTTTCAATTGCGCGTTTCACTCATTCAAGCTATCTCTCTCTCTCTCCCCGCGTGTTTGTCACTATGGTAATCTTTTATCTCTTTTAGTTTCATATCTCTTACTCTTACAAAATCTGTCAAGCCGCTTTAATTTTTTAATCTCCAATATATCTCGTCTCATTCCATGGTTCGTTGTTACGCGAATCTTTTTCTGTAAGTATTTCCTTGTTTTATCTATTTATTCACCTAAAACTGGTGCGCAATGATTCATATGCTTCAATATATCTATATGTTTCCGCTCGTAACGCCTTGAATTTAATTTTATTTAATAGTTTGTTTTTAAGCTGTACTACTTTTTTAAATATTTTGTTTCTCAAATAAATATATTACAATTTCCATTATGTTTTTTACTTTACTTATCTGCAAGATTTTACGAGGTTTTTAAATTAAGTGGGCCTTAATTGGCGCCTGTACCTGAGAGTTAATGTAGCAATTTTTGGTTAATATTCTTCAAATGAGGTAGTGGATTTTTTAAATGTAAATATGATCTCTGTAAACATACTGAAAGGAGGAGGAAAACTTAAACCTTCCGATTTCAGAAGAATTAATATTAATATGTTGGTTAATATTTTAATAGTTAATGTAATCAGGTAATTAGTTTAATCAAATTGAAGTTATGAAATTTTATATTTAATATTTAAAAATTTTCGTATCAGGTAAATATTTCTCTAAATAATTATATAATTTATCTGATCACATTCACATTTTACTACGAAATTTTGAACTATTAATGTTTGCAATATTTTGTTTATATACAATTACCCTATTTTTCTTGAATGTTGTATTATATTCTCTAAATTGAAGTAATTTTAAAAAATGTATGCGAATTACTATGGTGATTTTATTTTAAAGAAATTAATAATTAAATAAATTATCAGACATTATAACATAAAATATAATTAAATGATCGTTATATAATTACACATTGTTACATATTCAATCACCTCTCTGTATATTCTCTTCTTTCGTTTTCCCAGTTATTTTATAAAATTCTAATCTTCCATGTGCTCTTTCAAATTTTTTCAAAAAGACACCTTGTCCGTATCTTTATTTGTCATCAGAAACACTTTTTAAAACTTGTAAAATTCAGTTTTCGTTAAAGTGTCCCAAATTAGAGTAGAAATCGTTTTATTCGATCTAGCAACTCAATTAAATTTCAAGTAAATCTAATTTAAAAATGAAAATAGTTCATGAGGTAATAAGTTTTCACCAGTAGATTTTTTATGACATTTTCAATCAACACAATTTATATTTTTATATAGCTTATCCAATGAAATTATTACTTACAAATCACTATTAGAGACTAGAATATTGCTGGAACTTGCTGAAGAAGAAGCTTGATCATCACTAAAATCGAAATTAAGAGCACGTCGAGTGCATGAAAATGATACGTTCCCAACATTTTGCATATTTTGAGGGGAAGATGCATTATTTTCTTCACTTAAATTTTCATTACTTTCAATATTTATATCTTGTAATCTTCTATTAAGGCTTGTAACATCATCAGACATATACATTTTAATACATCAATAAGATATTGTTTTCAGATTCTCATTTGTTCACATCACGTTAAACTCTACCGTAAATCATTGATAAATTTATTCTTAATTGTTCATTATCAAATAATCAACTCAGGAAATGTTTAAATTATTATTTTTGTGGTGTCAGAATTATCCTCTATATTTTTCTAAAAAAAAATATCAATCGTAGGTTATGAAACAAATTTGATGTTGACATTTCATAAAAAATTATCAAATTCCAACCTGCTGAATTTACTGATAAGTGAAAACTTTTAAGAATTTTAAACCGTGAACTATGCAAAAAAATTCTCACTAATTTTGAGATAATAAAAGTAGAAAATTTATTATTTTATAAACTTTTTCCATTTAATACAATAAAACAACGCTGCGGAAGGTGTAAAACTTCGGTCACAGGAAACGCAGACATCTGTGTATGGACACTCAACGCAGAAATGCCTGTTCCATACTTTAAAAGCCACACCTATACCAAAGAATACTAAGGTATCCTCGTATTCTTCGCCTATACCGGGTCAGCGACATTCTGCCAAAAACCGGGTCAGGAATTTTTTGTTGTTAAGTTGGTAGTTTCGAATTAAAAGTATAAATATTAAAGATAGTATGCTCAATATGAACTTTTGTACCGAGTATGGGTTTACCGGAAGTGAGAATATAGACTAGTACGAAATTTTACCACATGTGGCGCATAATGTTGGAATTTTACCGCTTTGGCACAAAAGTATAAGGCACAAATGATCGCTTGCCAAAAAGAAACCTGTTTCTCAAATCTTGTAGAATCACGACCTCCAATAATAAATCACTCAGATAATCCACTAGATGGCAGAAATATGACATGATTATAAACGAAAAAAATGACTACAAATTAAGTATACAAACTGAAAAATAAATGTACCCAAAATAAAAATTTTTTTTATTTATCCTTAAAACAATGAACATATGTAATGAAATCGTAGCTCAATGTTAAAACCAGCATTAGGGTAAGATAAAGGCGAAAATTCACTCGATTCAACATCACAGATCAAATGTAAATATTTGCAACCTTCGCCTAGACCTAACTGACGCTAAACGTCGTGGCTACGGTATTTAATAATCTTTTTCATTATCAATGCAGTCTAATAGCCGTTATTTAATTGTTTAGTAATATTAAGTAGAACATTAAAAAGAGTCAGGGACAATAATTAACTCGGTCCACCATCATAGACTATTATTTTTAGTATGTACTATTTTAAATTTATACAAAAAATTATTTCAAGAGTATTGGAGACCAATGCCTTCATACTTAACAAGGAAGGTGTTAGATACTGCTCTCATTATCCTAAGTTTATCGAAAATAACTAAAAACCTGATTTCACTGGATTTTCTAATATTTGTCACGAACTTCCTTTTTATACATCCTGTCATAAAACAGCCCTTTCAAAACCTTCCAAAAGAAATCGTCCTAACCTTTTCTTTGATATTGATACAGGAGATATATTTTTGTATGAAGCCTAACGCATCAAGTAATCGTTGACACTTAGTGATTTTTTTACTCTTTAAAATATGTCATTAAATTTTATTTATTTCTCGATATTTTATTATTAATTAATAACATACTTATATAAATCAAATTCTCGAGAATGTCCTCTACCAAAATATGTATTTTGGTTTTTTTTATTAATTATTGGCAGGGTTTTCTTGCTTTAGAGTTTTTATAAAATGAAAATGTACATTCTATTTATACATTTAAATAATTATAATCTATTGTGTCTTACATCACATCATTATATGCCATTTTTAAATCGAAACAGCAAGAAATTATTAAAAAAATGTACATAGCTGGACTCAAAAGCAGGATGCACACGTTTTCACACTGCTCTTGTACTATTCATGATTAGCATCATTTACTACTCTATATTATTTATCATATTTATCAAAAGTAACTATTATCAGCATTATAAATAGTAGTTTTATAGCTTTGAGCTATCAGTTTACAGCTTAGAAATTTTTTATTCAAAAATTAAATGTATTTATTAAATAGTACACATGACATTATTACAAATTTTTCTTAGATAATTATTTATTTTTTAATTAGTAATTTTTTTGTTATAAAACAATCCGATTGATACTAATTAAGAAGAAATTCAATCAAGATCATGAAGATTTTCCACGAGCAATTGCCACATAAGAAAAGTAATGTTAATTTAATTTGAATATAAAAAAAAATCATCTGATTATTTACTATCCATTTTTAAAACTTTTTTGTGTTTTTTTTACTTATTTTTATAATGATAAAGTTATTTAAAGTAAATTGTTAGAAAGTACTTATTTTTTACCGAGTAATCTGTGGAGAAAAAATTGTATGTTGTGTATTCTAGCATTAGAATAAAGTTTTAATTATTGAATATTGAAAAAAAATGATTAAATATTTTTTAAATGTTCACTATTCAAATCCAGTTGTAATTATAATTAATTTGTATACCTAAAACACCATATGACTTAAATCTAATTACAAATGAATGAGTGAGCAGAGCCATCAAAGATAAGTTTAAAAAAACTTGTTTTATTATTTAAATTTACAGGGAATTATACAAATAAAAATTTCTTCTTAGTATTTTTTATAAAAAAAGTGAATAAACTGAAAAATTTTTTATACTGGTATTAGATCACAGTTTGAGTTTTAATTTGATATTATTTTAACTACCTTCTACATATTTTATAATGATTTTTAGATTAATTATTAATTATTAAATAAATTTTTGTATTGTATAAACCAAACAGAATTTATTCTATTTTTATTTTTATTGGAACAACTTACTTTTTTCTAAACAATTCATTATCACTGGCTTATCAAATTTGAATTCTAGCCAAAATGGAGACCGATAGTCAAATTCGCTCATTTCACTATTAGATTTCCTTGGGGTCAAAAGAGTAAATGCTGAATAAATTTCTGGGAAAGTATCACCTGTAATATAAATATCAAATAAATTATTTAGAAATGACTATAGTTTTTTAAGTCTGATATTCGAAATAATCAAAGTGAATTTTTGATTATATCAAATTCAGGGTGACTGCACAAATGGATAAGCAACACCTAAAAGGTTAGTTTATTAATAAAATCATATGAGAATGATAAAAGTGAATTGAGCCGATTCAAATTTATAAAGTTTTATCGATAAATAAGAACTATCAACATAGAGATAAAAACAAAGATGAGAAATTTTACTTTCTGAGATAAGAGGGTCAATACTCACAATTTTTCGGAAAATATGAGTTGTTAAAAATAAAAATGATTAATAATAATTGCGGAATCATAGTAATCAAGTACGTGGTAAGCAAATAGTAAAGCAAGTTAATTAGTTTTGAAATCGAAATCAGACCAAAAAGCAACATTGCCAATTCACAGTTAAATATTATAGGCGTCAAATAGAAAATGAAGGTTCCTTAGTGTAAACATTTGTAACTACCGTTTAATGTTAGTTTGAATGTTCAATATTATGTTGCTCAGTACTTTATTAATCTAAATTATCCATAATTATTTCATCAAGTGAATTTATTTTTAGAATTATTAATCATACTAGTTACCAGATTTAAATTTCCATTAGTGCATTTTATAAAGTTTATTATTTTTTTTAAATGATATAACTCTACTAATTTCTATTGGCATACTTCATTATACCTTAATCACTGAAAATTTTCTGAGAATTTGCTGAGCTCTGATTAAATCAACACTCTGATAACAAGCATTAATAGTAAAAATAATCTATGACGATTTTCGTTACAATACAATTAACAATGTTTGCTTAATAAAAAAAAAATATAAATTTTATACATATTTACCGTTTACAGGATGTTTGGATACTTTAACAGTCTTGATCGGAATAGAAGTATGAGGACTTTCACTCAGCTTTTTAGCCAAAGTCGAAGGAGATTTGGTTATTTTATCATCAGTTGGTTCTCCAAATAAATTGCGCTTTATTGGCACTTTTATTAAACTTTTATCACTATTACTACCTTTAAAAGAACTTTTATTGTCTAATTGACGTCTATTACGTATTGGTGATGTATTAGATAAGCCTCTTTTTCCCTCAAATGTTCCAAAACCCTAAAACAATTTATTTCAGTTACTAGTCATAAATAGATTATTTTTTAATCGTTCAATCATTCAAGTCTTTAAATGTGAATTTTTCGGCGTAACTAAAAGTCCTAGGAAATGTTCTTGAATTAAAAATTTTAAGCAAGGAACAAAATTTTTTAACGATGTGGCTTCGAAAATAAGTATATCTCAACTATCTCGATAACTATAAAAGCAATAAAGAAAAATTCGTAGATTTCCTTTTCTATTTTTCGTAGTTATGCAACGCAACAATAATAAAAATCTTTAAATTGGTTCCTAAAAAAACTTATAATATACATTGAAAACTTTATTTAAGGATGTACGAGCGTTAATTTTTTCACGGTAGAATTTTTTGAAATTTTGATATTCGATTCATTTTTTATAATAAAAATTTTATGAAAATTTCAGCACAATTGTGCCGCTAGTTTTCGAGAACTATTAATTTGAAATTGATTTTTTTACACAGGCTCTTATGGAGATCACGTGATATTTTATTAAAACTGTATTATCACTTAATAGGTCAATCACGTGATCTCCATAAGAGCCTGTGTAAAAAAATTAATTTCAAATTAATAGTTCTCGAAAAACTAGCAGCACAATTGTGCTGAAATTTTCATAAAATTTTTATTATAAAAAATGAATCGAATATCAAAATTTCAAAAAATTCTACCGTGAAAAAATTAACGCTCGTACATCCTTAAGTCTCTTTTAGTTTGCAAAATGATCGCGAAATTGGTTTTCGGAGTAATTCTTTAAAAATTTTACCCTTTATTTGAAGTGGCAATACTGTTTTTACTATTCCTATCTACTCTAGTATTTTCTTAAATTGTTAACCATGCCGAAAAACCTTAATTCTATGTTTTTGCTGACCGAACCTACTTGATAATTATACATCTTACTTGTAATGGCTGTTGACGTTTATTTTTAGATGAAAGATCAACATCACCCAGAGATTTACGCCGATGCTTTTTTCCAGAAGATTGCTTATCACGCTGCAATTTTTCTTGAACCCATCGTTTCATTCTTCTGTAATAAGCAGTATTTACAATGAATAAGGGGAGTTTATTCATTATTATTATATGAAAATTCGTACTATAAAAAATGATTGATTACTTGACAAAAGGAACAACCATGAAGAAAGCATTGGGTCCAACTCCCATTTTAACTTTTGGAGTCATATCTCTAGCCGTGTTTGGAAGATCAGAAAGTGAAAACCATTCAACATTTTTAATTTCTTTTCTAGTTTGAGGTTGAAATTTTGTATCTTTTTGTACCCCACAAATAATGTACAGCCTCACCAATCTATCATTAATGATAGATTCAATATATTCATTCTTATCTATTAATCCAGAGATATCGAATCCTGTTTCCTCTAGCACTTCACGCACAGCACAGTGTGATGGATCTTCATCTTCATTAACTTTACCTTTCGGAAAACCCCAAGAATTTTTAGACCAGTAATTTTGTACTAAAAGAACTTTGCTCATATCTTCATTTAATACTATTGCACCAAAAGTAGGCACATTTTGTTTATATTCCCGCCATTGTTCCAATACAGAATCTAACCGCTGTACGTGAGATTTTAGGAATGGAATGTGTTGAAATATGTGCATAGCAAACTCATCCATTGTACAGGATCGAAGTTTACTAACTTCGTTAGCACAGTAAAAGTCTAAATAAAACCAATGAGCCAATTCTATTTGGAAACATATTCGCACTAAGTCTTTTCGTTCTTCTTCTGGTACATTGATAATAAAACGACTGTCAACAAATAAAATAATTATTAAAAAGAAATGAGACCCTCAAAGAAATCAATTTAATCATTATGATAAAAGAATAAATGAAACAAAAAGATTAAAATTTAGAAAAAAAATAAATAATTGAAATATCACATGAACTCACCTACTTAGATCGTCGAGAATATCAAACGGAATAGCATGCTCAGTCATATTCAGATTTTCATTAATATTTATTTATCAGTAATGATATTTAATAGTGAAATTGATTTGAAAATATTTGTTATTCAATAATTATAACAATTACAATTATTTTAAATTGTTTTGTAGTATACATGTAATCTTAACCAAAGAATACTATATAGTCGAACCACGGTGGAAGATAAAGACCGTTCACACAACCAAAAACTTAAGGGTGTACATACAATCGAAAACTTAAGGTTGTTCGATCATTTAGCGAATTTAAAGGATTAATCTATAAAAATTTCAAAAGTGATAGGTAATCATTAAAAAAAATCAAGTTCGCTTTAACAATAAATTTCACCGTTTAGTTTAGCAATAATGAATGTATAAAATTCAGTTAAAAGTTAGGTTAAACCCAATGGCACGAATAAATTCAGATTTCTTGTAATCAAAACGATCAAAAGTTTCATAAATTTGTATTTAATCAATTCTGTTTGTCAAGTTTTATTTAATATCAAATATTGCCATTTTTCTTTAAATTAAATTTTAACATCGATTTTCCCTATACTATACTATTTATTAGTCGTACTCGAACAACCTTAAGCCGTAAGAGGTACAGTGCCGGACATAAATGCTTTTCAATTTGTTAAAGGTCATAAGTGTGATTTCCCTATACTGTCCTATAGAAAATCACACAGCATTTATGTCTGGTACTGTACAATTTAGGACGTGCGCGTGCGCACTAACATCATAATAAGTCAAATATTGGTTTATGCACATGCGTACGTCTTAAATTGTACGTCTTACGGCTTAAGTTTTTGATTGTGTGAACATCCTTACTTTTTGGAGTGTAGAGGCTACCTTTATATAGTTACACTGGCCAAAAAGTGTTTACTTAGTTTAATCTATAGTGGGATGAAATGAATCTCAGTTGGTTCTCTCAGTTCGACTATATAGTCGGACTGAGAAGAGAGTTCCTCAGATGCTCTTCATGTGTTCTTGTACGCTTGCGCAGTAGTAAAAAACATGGTAGAAGGGGTAGAAAATCAGTGGTGGGGAGCCCGAAAGCATTGAAGCAACTGAGGAACTCTTTTCTCAGTTCGACTATATCAAGTTATCATGGTTAATTCGATCAAATCTGTAAATTGTTTGACTAAATCTTTTCTCCGACTTCAACTTATTAAAAATAAGGTTAACAGCAATTGTTTCAACAATAAGAAGAATTCATCAATTTCACTACCCAATAATAATAGATATTATAATTGTAACATTAGTGAAAACAATAACCTAGTGTTAAATAAACTTAATCTTAACAATTATTCAAGATACGGAAAAAATAATGCTAAAAGTCATATGTTTGTACGAGGAACAAGACATTCGTCTCATGTTAAAACAGAAAATGTTAAATCAAGTCAAAAATCGCCAGAAGCAAATGAAAATATGCTGATTATTTATGATTCACAATGTCCATTATTTGTTGTAAATAAACAGAGCTCTGTCGACAAACCTAGTGAATTCAACTCCGATGATGTTGAAGTTGATGATGAAAATGAATTTCTTATTGACACAACATTGAAGAAATATAAAATACCAGCACCTTTGGAAACTTGTGATGAAGATTTTTCATATTATGCACCATATATGCAACCAACATTCAATTTTGCTACTTATGCTAATCGATCTGAAACAATCCAACAGCTTGTTAAGCTTGGAGTTGAACTCTATAAAATAGAGAGGTACTCAATAAACTTAAGATTGATTTAATAAATAAGTAATGATTACGGAATCTTGTCTAAATAGTGCTTCGATCCTACAGTAGGAGTAAAACTAATCATCAGAATTAGTATAAATTCAGTTTTTTGCGATTATCTTGTAAACTATGGGAGATGAAAAAAAATTTTACATTAAAGTTAAAGATTTGTTGACTTTACATAAAAAAGCCTTTAAACTTTGTCCTCTATTTCTGATAGTTCAGCTGTAATTTGACGATAAGAATGAAAAAATGTTAAAGATTAATTATTTTCATCTTAGTAAGAGCTCTTTTCTTATCGTTACAATCAACTCCAAGAACAATTCTTAAAATTTTTAGCCATGCTGAACAATCATGATTTTACAACGTAGTTGACTTGACTACTTTTCACTCTTAGAAATAAGTTTACTCCTCAAACCAACCCCTCTAACCAAGACCTTTATTTCATTACAGGTATCCAAATAGTATGAAGAGTCTTCTTCGACGTGATTTCAATGAAATAAAACCATATATTCAATTTCTACATGATTGTGGAGTCCACCCACATGACATTGGCCATTGTTTGACGAAGTTTCCACTCATTATTGATGAAGATCTTGATGATTTGCACACAAGAATTCGCTATTTAAGAGCCCATAAATTTTCCATCGATGACATTCAAAGGATTGTGAGTGTTTGTCCTCAATGGCTGAGATATACAACAAAAGAAGTTGATCGGAAACTCGGATATGTCCAAGCAGAGCTTAAATTATCTGGAGAACAAGTGAGAAAAGCCTTCGTGATGCAGCCAAAGCTGATTTTAGCTCCCCGAAGTCAGCTTAGAGAAAATTTCTTTTCAGTTAAAGAAGAAATGGGTTTTGATGACTACCAGATTAAGCAAATTCTGCTAGCAAAGCCAAGTATATTCATAAATGGTGACTAATTTAAACTCAATTGTTTATTTAATTTACTCAAAAGCTCTATATTTAACATTTTAATGCTACATTTTTTCAGAACGAAAATTTATTGCAAAGACGTTTGATTATGTTCACAATCAAATGCAGATTTCACTTGAATTGTTAACTAAAATTCCAGTGATTTTGTTAGCTCCAGTTTCTAAAATTGCAGAACGTCACGAGTTCCTGAAACTTTTGAAAAGAGATCAATATGATCCACGGAAGCCCTTGTATGTTAATTTAGAAGATCTATCTCGTTCATCAGATTATGAATTTTGTACAAATATTGCTAAAACGTCGATACAATTATTTGATATGTTTCTAAAAACTCGTTAATAAATGGTGAAGTATACAGTTATGAAATTTTTTATTTTCACTTAAATTAATGGTTAAAAAAGTTCGATGATTAAGTTAACACACAGCTTTAAAAATAAATATTGTCTCGAGTAATAAAAAATGATCGAGGTGAATGATTTATTTCCTTAATGGTTAAGTAAAAAAAATGGAGAGTAGGAATTTTCAAATACAAAATAATTTTAAAAAATCACTTTTAACTTAAGTTAACTAATTAGTTTTTTGAATCATTTTTTGGTCAAGGAGTTTGATTTGAAGGGGCAAACTTATTTCTAAGAGTGAAAAGTAGACGAGTCAACTAGATTATCAAATTATAACTGAACTATTTAAAATAGAGGAAAAAGTTCAAAAGCCTGTTTTATGGAATATCAAAAAATCTTTAACTTTTATGCGAAATTTTTTTTCATATCTCCCATAGTTAACAAGATAATCGCAGAAAACTGGATCTAGAATGATTCTGGCGGTTAGTTTGATCCTTCTCCTGAAGTTGATGCCTTTTATTTAATACTGTAAATTATTTTCATTAACCCTCAAAATATTTTTTTAAAATTTTAACTATGCTGAACAATCCTTATCTTATAACTCTGCTGACTGAGCTATTAATTTATTATTTAAAACAAAGATAAAAGTGATATCAACCATTTAAAAATTGTACCTTATAAATCATAATTGTCACAAAAATAAGGTGATCCTATGTTTTTATAGAATATTTAATATTTAAATAATATTAATTCGTTGACTTTATTTAATAATAAAATTATTGCAAAAAATATTATGTTATCAGACTAAATGATTTTAACTCAATTACATATTCAATTCTATTATCAAACTCTCACTTTTATTACAATATCTTAATAGGTTCGTCTTTATTAATCAACGTAATAAAAATTATCAAATTTATTATAGAAATTGATAGCAAATTTTATTTTAATTCTTGTTTCAAAAACATCATTATAGCAATCAGACTTTTAAAGATTGTATAAGAAAGCATTCATATACTGATGACTCAAAAAATCTTATGAATACAATTTATGAAATCACGGCAACTGCAAATAATAAAATTCTTATGTAAAACATTACTCCAAGAAATCACGAGATTAATTATAATTTCATTTTTTTTATCAATTCATTAAATTGAAAAACTTTAAATGACTGAAGTTTATTTACTTAACTAAACTTTCCTAATTCTTGTTTTTTTTGTATTGCCCGAACTGAATGATATAAAAGTGTATCAATAAATCCTGCCACTGTAAACACACCGCCAATTATTGCACAAACATTTGTAGCAAAATGTCCAAATGATTTCTGTTTTTCTGTATATTTCACCATCAGCGGACTCAATTCGTAACTGAAAAATATCCCAGGCATACCTGATTCACCTCCAAATGCCATTATTTTTTTAGAATGTCGAGTGATGGAAAATTGATTGGTTTGTAACTGGGCATTGTCTGAACGAAAATACGTTGTTGGAACTATTTTGATGTAGTGTTGGAACATCATTGCACCTTTGAACAAAATAAATTATTATTACCTCTTTACTTCCCCATTAGGAAGTTATTGCAATAAAGCCAATTGTCAAAATTCGTCTTTTTGTTATTTCTTTACGTTTTGTAAGTTTGTATTACTTTTCACAATTGCATATGGTTTATAACAATTTTTATTTGTTGATGTTTATCGTTCTATACGATTTGCGACTATTAACTATTGTTCATGATAATTTGTTGATTGACGACAATCTATTGTTCAAAAAATAATAATACTTTTTACATAAACAATTAAATATCTCGACAACTATTAACTCATCAAAAACATCCCTCTCCTTCTAGGCTGTACAAAAATGTGCACCAAGCATAAATGATGGCAACCCTAGTAGCTAAGATCTGTCGTTAGAATTGTCGACAGACTTACGTACGTCTGTTTCCTTTCTGCGGCAGCATCTGACGTCTGACGTTGATCTTACGTTAGGAAACTAAAAGACAGCAACATACGGAAGTCTGACGGCAGTCTGTTTCCTAATAATAATAATATAATGGCTACTAGGATTAATGATTTAACAGCATTAATGGTGGAACTACAAAAAGTCCTAAAATCATTAAAAGCCAATTATTTAAATCTAAGAATCAACAATATTTAAAATGAATTGTTTTCTTTGGTTTTTTTTTTTTAAAATTCAATACGTTTTATGACATAATCAAAATAACAATCAATAACTTGGTGTGACTGTTAAGATTTTATAAAAGCATGAAATTACGATCATGTTCAAAATATTGAAGCAAATTCATAAGTAACAACGTGTGTCGATTTCCGATGGGCTGATTTCGAGATATTAAATGAAATAAAATATATTTTCTTATGAACAAAAAGGCCACATTTAGCTGGATTATAATTGAAAAATATTAAAAAATTATATAACTTCTATTGATTTGTCAAAGATGTCATGGCTATAATATTCCAGGGCTTATTAATTATCATTATAATTACTATTGTTATTTATTTATTATTATTATCTCCTTTCGGTTCGTCAAAGGTGTCTGGCCAGGGATCCCAGGGCTCCGACCGACCTGGCGCCTGACCAGACGGGATTATCCTACAGACACCCGACTCCCTCAGGTTTGAGGGTGAGCCGGGGCTGCAGCCGTTCAGTCAAAGTTTTTACAATTGTCTCAGGATTCGGAGAGAACCAAGGATGACCGCCTTCTGCATACAAGCCGCGAGAATCTCAGCCTGACAACGGCAGACTGGTATTGTTCGAAGCTCCGTCAAAAAGCGGTCCCTCAATTATTATTATTATTATTATTATTAACTTTATTATTAATTGAAAATAATAAACTCTATCATAACGTATTTGAATTTGTTACTTTTATCATACATCAGATAGCGCTAGTTGAGTTTTCAAAATGGCAGCCGTGTAAAAAGCACACTAAACATTTGTTCGAAATTCGACCGGCGATTTTAATAAAATTAGATAATAATTAAGTAAAAAGTGTTCATATCTGAATGAAAAATAACAAAAAAATTTCATTAAAGTAAATAATTAAATATTTAGTCATAACATTGAGGTTATAAGGTATGTTTTGTTCAGTTTTTTAAACTTTTTCCAATTACTTTGTAAAACACTGATGATTGAAAATAAAAAAATGATGATGAAATATCCAATACAACGTGAATAAATAAAATTTTAGTTGAATTATGCCTGTACCTGGAGCAGTATATCAACAGGGCCCGTCGTGTTGGGATCGAATAAAAATGGGATTTGGAATTGGATTCTGTGTTGGATTGGCATCAGGAGCACTTTTTGGTGGCTTTTCTGCACTAAGGTAGATGAAAAGATCTTTTAAATATATGAATTTCAATAATAATAATAATACAATATGAAACGATTTTTACTAGGTACGGTTTAAGGGGACGAGAATTAGTAAATAGTGTAGGTAGAACGATGATACAAGGAGGTGGTACATTTGGCACATTTATGGCTATTGGTACAGGCATAAGGTGTTAATATTATTTTTTAATTAATCAAATTAAAAGGTGAACCACTGCGCACATATTTATTCTGGATTTTGGACATAATAAACTATTATTATTGATAATCAATATATTCATACCTTGATGAATGCTGATGATTAATCATTTTTAACTGATATTTAATGAATTGGGCGACAAATGAGCTATTTGATTAATATCAATCAACAAAATATTGTTGTTATTATTGATTAATATTGTTATGATCTTCTGAATAAAAGAAAAAATAGTTACTTATGCAATATCAGACTTGTAAAAAATACCTTCTAAACAGTATTTAAATGTAAATACTTGGCTTGATATTTCCCATTGAAAATATATTTGCATTAATACAATTATAATAACAACTTTTTCAACTATTTACACATGATTATATAGTCTGTTAAGTTGAATATATAAATTGATTTCAAACGGCACAAATTATCAAAAGTGTTTGCAAAATCAAATGAAATGAAGAAAAATTTGTGTTTGAACACAAATAAGAAATATTTTCATTGAAAAGTATTTCAAATACTCGAAGAGAATTTTAAATACTTTACAAGTATGTTGAATAATTACTTATTTAGATATTGGATTTGTAATAACTCTAAAATGTAGAGTTCAACCAATGAGTAGAAAAATCAAGATTTCCAAATCCAGTTTATCGCGATTATCTTGTAAACTATGGGAGGTAGAAAAATTTTTTACATAAAAGTTAAAAATTTTGACTTTACATAAAAAAGCCTTTAAACTTCTTCCTCTATTATATCTCTAATAGTTTAGCTGTAATTTGACGATAAACATGACTAACTGTTGAAAATTGATCATCTTTATCTTCATCATCATTTTAAAGGTAAACTGTAAGAGATAGAGGTCAAAGCACGATGATTTTTTTTGTGTAAAATAAATAAATCTTTAATTTTTATTTTAAACTTGTCTCCATATTTTTCATAGTTTACGAGATAATCGCAAGAAACACAGCTCGAGACGTTTTTTTGCTAGGCTTGCCCTTTGCCTGAGGTAAGAGATCCGTTTACCATTACTAATTATTTCCTGATTTCAATGGCTCGATAATTACTTTTATTCACTCGTAAGTGTTTAAACCTAATCATAAATTCATGAAGATAGTTAGTCTTTATATAATAAATAAAAAAAATTATATTAGCTAGATAAGTTTGTTCTTTGCTTCAAGATATTTCATTTTTTAATAAAAATTTTTTAGACAATCACAAACGACAGGAATTATTCGTAACTTCCTGTTGACTCTTTTACAAAATAATAGACAGCTACAATAAATATTTATAATACTATATCTTTCGGTCGAATAAAGTGCATGTGTGAGTGCGTGTGTATACCAGGTTTTTTTTTTCGTTTTTGATATCTCGAAAACCACCGGGGACATCGACTTCAGACAAATTTCATTTTAAAGATAATCTGAAAAGAGTTTAAATACATTGGGCCTGTCACATGACTCTAAACCATTGCTCATTATTTATGATGATATCAATTAGTTATAAACAATTAATAGTGGTTTTAATTTATTTCCGTGAAAAATGAGTTCAAATATGGCTATATCTGATTCGATCAGTATTATGAGACTGTACAGATATAATCGGATTAAAATTTCAGATCTGAATAGACATAACATATCTATTCAGATGATCACAGATGAAGGGTATTCAGATCTGTTTGGATCTGGTCAGAACTAAAGAAAGTTGATAATTTTCTCTAGACCAAAAAATCAGATCTTATCAGATATGATCATATTTGAAAAAAGTTTATTAGTCTGAATCTTAAATCTGAAAAATTTTATCATCTGAACAGATTTGAAGAAAAATATATAATTTTCATTAAAATATAAATCAGATTTAATCAGATCTGAGAACAATTAATCATTCTTGTAAAACATTTAATAAAAATAAATAGCCGCAGTTATACAAATAGATAATTTAAAAATAGCATCTTAAGTTTTCTGGATTAGCGTAATGGTGAGTATGCAAGTCTACGGTTACGAGGGTTCAGGATCGAGTCTACTTATGTTTCATTACTTTACTTTAGGAGTCATTTTCAGCACAGAAACTAAATCATAATCATGACATTAAAATATTATTTATTCAGTAATAAGATCTAAATCTGATAAAATTTTTATTTTAATTAAAATTGTCTTCTAAATTTATATCTGCGCAGATCTGAAGAGGTCTCAAGTAATCAGAAAAATGAGTTCAGATCTGTATTATGAGACTGTTCATATCTGAAAATTAAAAAAAAAATTCAGATCTGAACTCGTTTTTCAAGGGTTGAATGGTCACTATTATTAATATATTCGATAAATATCAATAAAATATTGTTATACATGACTTTATGTCATTAAACAATTGTATATTGTTTATAACATAAGCAATTTGTTATAAACATTAAAAACTTAGAGATGAACAAATTACGGATTTCAATGAAGGGGAAGTTCGTCGTAAGGGCAAAAAGTGAATTTAAAACTTTTTTTTTAATTATATCTAAGTTGATTAACCTAGAAGAAAATGAAAAAAGTATCGAATTGTTCTGATAAAAAATAGAAATTATCGTAATAATTAAGACTACCTTCTTCTGCTATCACAGTTGTGTTATCCATAGGGTTGGTTTTCCCTGGAATATTAACTCCAAAACTTAGATGCCGAATTTTATGGGTCATATTGAATTGACTTGATGCATAAGGCTGAACATCGTGCACTTGACAACAAACACAATATTTTAAAATGCAAATTAAATAATTTTTTTTCATAATTAAAATGTTGGATATTTATGAGATATTGCATTGTAATTAGTTGATTGACTACTTACCATGCACGTGATTAATTGAAAAACTATTTCCCGGTGAAATATGAAAACTCCCTCCGACTCTATTGACTTCCATATACCCATAAATTTGACATCCTTCTGTAAAAGCATTGTTTATTTCATGTAACGCTGAATGAGCACATTGTTTTATTGATGAAGGGTCTGGGAAAGCCCATTTTTTTAAGATATAAGCTTGTTTCACGTCTGTACATGTATTACAGCACCTGCAAGTCAAAGAATGAATTGAATGTTAATTTGGAAAATAAGATTTTTCAGCATGGATAAAATATAAAGATAATATTCTTAAAATGGTTAAAAATAAAAAAAAGGTCTAAGTACACTTTATCTGTGCTAACACGACGAACTTCACATTAGTAATTGTTTATGACAAATTCATATTGTTATTGTTATAAACAATGCGTAATTGTCAAGAGTTATAGCTCAACATTAATAATATCATTTTGTTGAAAACATCCAAGTCGGTGTGATACACACATTAGTTAATCGAAAAATACACTTTTTAATTGCTTACAATAAATTCATATTTTTATGAACATTGCGTGATTGGTGAACGTCACATTCGGTTGTGAATAATAATGTCTAGTCAATATTGACATCATTTTTAACCAAATTTGCTAAAATTTCTTTTAGATCTTCGTTACAATAATATCTTTCGAACAAATTTTGGTTGAAGTTGATATTTTGATCCGTTCTTGAAATATCGAAAACGAAAAAAATGCTGACATACGTACGTACATACGTACACACACATCACTCTAAAAATTGGTCAGTATGGTTGGAAATATCTTGAAACTTGGAGATATGATGAAAATTCAAACTTCACCAATCAACCCAATTTCAATAACTTTCTAATGGGAAGTTAACAATGTATCCGGGAGAGCTGCCGAAAAAAAGTAAAAATTAACTTCGGACCTAGTTTTGAAAGATTTTCTTAAGAATTTAAAATGATATCCAAAACGGTGTCGAACAGAAAGTTGTAGATGCTGAAATTTTACATAAATGGGTCGCTATACTTAAACTTCTATTTCTCATAGTTTAGATCGAAAATAATGAAAAAAAAGGGCAAACAATTTTTAGCGATTTCTACGATTTGTCTATCTTCATTTCCATTTTACAGCTGAACTATTGGAGATCGAGATTAAAATGTAACGACTTTTTTGTGTAAAATTAAAAGATCTAAAAATTTTACGATACTTTTTTTCGCATCTGTCATAGTTTACGAGATAATTGAAAAAAATTAAAGTTCAATAAAGATGACATGATCAAGAAGCTTTCATGTTTTTTTTTAATCCATTAGGAAGTTATTGTAATGGATCCGATTTTGCGAATTTCAAATGTTGATATATTTTGATGTTTTGGGATTCCTTGAGTCGGGTGTGCTCAGGTACATATGAATATATATATATATATATAATCTCTTTTCTTTAAGAATATTTTTTTAAAGTATTGTCTAGACCAAGAGACCATTTAACAAGATTGATAATAATTATTTAAACATACGTAATGTTCAGCTCTACATCTTCAGCTCCATAGCAAGATCCACAGATAACTTCGGTTGTTGTTGTCACAGTCTATAAACAAAGTAAATATTAAAATGTTTTTAATTTACAGGAGTGTGACTAATGATGCTAACCTGATTAGCTAACTTTTTAACTGTTTGATTATCCAAAATATCTGTTTTCTTAGGATCTTCTATTGGCTGACCATCTAAATTGAGCCTCCTTTTGTAAATATTATGGTCTATTTGTAAATGTTGTTCTCCAGTAGTGTCCATTGCATCCAATGACAGCACTAAAAACCGGCATTCATTAGTTAAAACAAAATCCAATTGACAATTATTTCAAAATATCATGACACACAACTTACAATCACATGCTATATTAGGAACAATTATGTCCAAATTTATCTTCAATTTAGAACCTCTTGATGTGTCGACAAATAATTCTTCATCCAAACTCGGCGTCAGATAATCTTTCAGTTCAGACATAAAGAGTGAAAACATGATGATTGAACTCACTATTGTGACTGAAAAATGTAAAAAAATAGAAAAATGTAAACAAATATCTCCTGCCATTGTTATAAATCTTTCTAATTTTGGTTATTGTCAAATATGTTGTGACAATTTGGATCGCTGAATTGTGGTTATATTTTTGCAGTGAGTAAATATTGAAGAAAGCAATATTTTTAAGAAAACGAATTTATTAAGTAATGATGATTAAATTTAGTTGGTTGTATTGATTGCATTCTTAATCATTAAAAAATTATACTTTTAGAGCTAAACATGGTGAATACTCACCCAAAGCACCGCTAAATGTTTTAACTCGAAAATCTTCAAGTGTTTTTGGGTAAGCATCGAACTTTCTTAACATTGCAGTAATGTTCATGATTCAATTAAATGGTTTTTATTTATTTTTTCTGTATAATTCATCAATACAAACATTCATTCGGCGTTTCAATAGTTTTACAACTTATATTATTATGTTTGATAAAAAAATTACACGTAGCAACGGGTACCATACAGTCGTATGAATGTAAATATCAACTGTCCAATATTGTCAAACTAGGAAAAGAGTTCCTCAGTTGCTTCGAAGCTTTCGGGCTCCCCACCACTAATTTCTTACCCCTTCTACCACGTTTTTCGCTACTGCGCAAACGTACAAAAGCACATGAGGAACTCTCTCTGGCGAGCTCTAACAGAATAAGGCTTAGTTTACACCCAGCGTTCCGATCCCGTTTCATTCCGGAATGGAGTGAATCGAGTCACCGTTTATACTTGAATTATTCCGTTCGGAAAGGAATGGAGATTGAAGTAAAGAAACAGGATAACCAACTTTGTAAATTTATACTTCAAAACTCAAAGTATATACCCATAACCTGTAATGTTACAGAAGCATCTGTAATATTTTAAGCTTAAAAAGAAGCTTCAATCGTGGAGCAGACTCTGCAAGTATAGTACAAAATCAGAAAAATCAAGCAGTCATGTCATTAACTTCTCCAGATATTGAGATGTCTGATGACATTTCTGTTTCATTAGATGATGCAGTTCCCAGTTCGTCAAAAGATGTTGGATTATTATCAAACACAATAAAACTATCTAGTCTTCAAAGTATTACTATTGAAGATAAGACTGATATCATAGAAAGCAATATAAATTGCTGTGCAATTGAAAATATTGTGGCTAATAGCAATGTATCCGATAATAATAACAATTTTGATAAAAAAAATGAAACTGATACAGAAAAAATTGAAAAAAACAATTTAAAAAAAACAATCAACGATGCGAAACGATCTGTAGTGCCAAAAAAAAAAACAATCATTTGGTCAAATATTTGATAAGGCAATCGATCGTCTAATAAATGCCAACAAAGAACAGCTACAAATGGCAGTAGATAGCAATAATAAATTAGTACTAGAAATAATGGAAAAACAAAAGGAAATGCTACAAGAGCAAACTCAGTTACTGTTGCAACATTTAAATACTAACCAAACTCATTCAGTTCAACAAAATTTTCCAATATGGAATTCAATGCAATTAACTAGCCAACCTAGAATAATAACACCAAATCATCAACGACCTCAGTTCGTAAGAATTCCTGCTAATATAATTGAGCAAGCTCGTAGATCTTCATTACCAGTTCCAGCAATATCTTTAACTCCTCATACTACCTCAACTTTGCAGCCATCATTAACATCCGATTATAATGACGAATCTACATTTTCTTCATAAAATATCAACAACAAATAATTTATGTTTATAAAAAATGTTAAAGAATATTGAAACACATATTTTTAATTCATGGAAAAATATATTATTTTACTTTTTTCCATAATTGATATAGTTTTGTAACGCAAGGTTAATAAAATGTAATAATAAATATACGCAATAACAAATAAAACGCAAAATAAATAAAATTTGTATTAAAATATTTATTTAATTTTGATTTAATACTTCCTATAAAACTAGTGATTTGTTCAATGTGTATCAACATGTATTACATGGATGGACACAATATTTCAGTTTTTATGTTACTTGAGCAATTTTTAATTTCGGAGGATTTCTGTAAGATAATCGCATAATGCATCTCGAATTCTTCTTGCATTAAGATCATCATATGTTCGTGCCAATTGCCTTTGTGGTTGAGGAAATATACGTTCAATTTCTTTTACATAACTATCCCAATTTATCAAAAATGGATCTTTTTTAGTTTCTAAAATATTATGGAGTGTACAGCAAGCAGCAACTACGTCTGGAACAAATTGATAATCTAACTCTGTACGTTTTAATAATGTTCGCTATCGCGCTTTTAAGCGTCCGAATGCCATCTCAATATGTACTCTTCCTTTATTAAAATAGTTATTGAATAATTCTTCTTGAGCTGTTAGCTCTGAATTTGTATAAGCTTTCATCAACCATGGCAGAAGAGGATAAGCTCCGTCACCCATTATGAAATATGGAACATTTACTTCTTTCACTCGTTTTACATTCTACAAAATGAGAAAATTTATGAACAAATGTATAGTTATCGTTTATTAGTATAGATAAATCTTTTTTAGTTTATTAACTACCTTTGGAATTAAATTATCTGCATTTCTATATAACAGGGACTTTCGAAATACTGCTGCATCATGTGAACATCCTGGAGATTGACAATTCATATTTCTAAACCTAGCAAAAAAAAAAAACACTCAAATTAAAATTATCCAAGTTAAATTACAATTATACAAAAAAATTCATTTTTAAGTACCTCAGTGTCACATCGACTAAACCTTGGAGTACTATTGATGGCCAACCTTTCCTATTTACGTAATCTCTGTAGCCTTCAGTTGGTGGTAATATAGGAATATGGGTACCATCAATTGCACCAATTACTTGAGGTATATGAATTAAATATTCATACATTGATGATATAATAGAACACTCGGTTTCATCTGGCATAACAATATATTTTGGCAGAAGAATAGTATTTATTGCTTCAACCACTTCATGCATACACTTCCAAACAGTGGATTTATGAATACCAAAAAGATTAGCGACTACCCGATATTCACAACAGCTAGCTAAGTAGTATAAAACAACACCAACTTTTTTATCAACACTCAGAGGTTTTCTTGGAGGTTTCATAATAGGTCGAGACGGCTCAAGCATTGGACGTAATTCCTCACCAATATAATAAAACGTTGATTTTCGCATTCTGAACGTTTCAATCCAATCGTTATCATCAAAATGTCTTTTAACAGTCACTTCCTACCAAAATGCATTTCTATTTTTCATCCATAACCGTCTAGGTGTACGATTGACACTGACTGGTCTGTGTCCAAGTATTTCGTGCAATTTATTGTAATATGGACACTTTACTGAAGTACCAGCACCGCTTTGTGAAAGTGCACGACAAGTAGCATTGTAACTTTCTGTAATTTTATTAAATTTTCATAAGAAAACAATTGTGCAGTTAGCATTAAAAAGAAGCCGCCAAGAATGTGATTTATATTATTTTATATGACAAATACACGAACTAAATGTAATTAATACTTACGTTTCAAACTTTTATATTTATTTTTAATTTGTTTAGCAGGTCGTACTACACCCCGATAATTCAATTTTTTTTCAAAAGACTTAAAAACGTCGTCAACTCGACTTTGTTTGGAATCCATAAGATCTGCTATTTGCTCTTCTTTAAATAATTCTAACAACTTATCTACTTCATTTGGCAACCAAATATCTCTACTTTTACTCATTATATATTTGATATATTGTACTTATTGTTAATAATCAATAAACATTACAAGTAATTGTTTAAAAATAAACTTGAAAAAACATAACCTTACAAATGCTCTATACTAATCTAACTTATGCTACATTACTGATTGGCAATACCGAATTCATTCCTGAATAACGCGTTTACATCAGCTTATTCCGGTCCTAAATCATTCCATTCCATCTAAAAATAGAGGAATGAAATGAAATGATTCCGGTCGTGATTATACCCGTTTACATTAGACAAATCTTAGTTCATTCCGGAATGAAACGGGATCGGAACGCTGGGTGTAAACTAAGCCTATTTTTAGTTGTGAAAGGGAGGTGGCTTGCCCTTCTCCAATTGCCAATTCTCCCTCTACGGTAGTGACGCTTGCGCACAACAGTTCAAATGAAAAGAAAGAGACAGACATATTTATTTTCTGTCTCACTTCATAGGCCACGCGCCCACTTACGGGAACTAGCAATATAGGAATATTAGATATATGACTACCGTGAAAACCTCATTAATTTACTTCAGGAATAGATTGAGTATGCTATTGTCTTTCAAAATTAATTATTTTAAATAATGATTAATTGGCCACGCCCCCATATACAAGATTTAAGAAAATACAGATTTATTACGTTTTTTTTTTATTGAATAAATTATTGTATTCACGTCGTTGTCTTTTCTGTAGCCTTACTGTTATTAACGCGTCGTAACAGCCACGCCAAGTTTTTCAAGTTTCAAAATATTACAATTAAAATTACTAAATCTATTTTGATGTGATTTTTTTTTTATATTTCTTAATTTTTCATACAGTGTATTTTCACATTTTTTTAAAGGTAATTTTTTTTTTAAATGTCAAAAATGATTGTGGAACTTTGTAAACAATTAAAAGCTATTTCAAATAAAATTCATCTCTTCAACTTTAATAAATACGAAATGCAATACTTGGCGTTTAATGATTTCACGCTTTTTTATAATTTTTTAAATGATATACATTTACGAAAATAGCATTTTTAGAACAGAGATTATCGTCTTCGTCATTTTAACTGAGCGCACAGTTTTGTACAGTCCGTGGAGCTGTTTTTGGTATGATATATCCTTTATAGAAGAAAAAATTATTTTTAAGTTTACTGAGCGAAAATAGGTTCATGAGAAACAATTGGGACAGTAACCTTACAAGTTATCATTTGTTAAAAATAAGAAAAGTCATTATTTACATTATAATGCAACAGTTTAAACTACTGAGTAGAGATGTGAATCGGTAATTGACGGGTAAATTTACCGTAAATTACCGGTAAAAAACGCGTCAATGACCAAGCCTGTTTTACCATACCGGTCAGAAAAATGCTGATCTCTGATTGGTTAATACATGTCCAATCACAGTTTAGAATTCCCAACGGCATACAAATGTTTATTTGTTCTATCAGGTATATATTTTCATTTTTATTTGTTTATTAAAAATACTGATAATATTTAATATAAGAAAATTCAATTTGTAGATAAGGATTTTCATTGAGAACTTGGTGCAATGGGGGAGAACAAATCAATATATAAACATTTCTCTGCAACCTAACCTAACCTAAATAAAGTACCTGAATGTTTTTATGATTTATATAATCATTTTAATAATGCATTTAATAATATTGGAAATATTTTTTCGGAAGAAGAAAAGCTGAGCATATATACTTGTTTAGAAAATCGTAAAACTATGGCTCTACGGCCCATACATTATGCAGCTAACTTACTTGATCCTCAATTAAAAGGAAAAAATTTAAATAGGTCAGAAATGGTTGAAGCTCATCAATTAATTATAAATCTTGGTGATAAATTAAATCTAAATAGTGATAAGGTATTAAAAGATTTAACAGATTATGTGTCAGAATCAAGTATGTGGAGTTACGACTACGTTAAGCGAGCAAGTATAATCACTTCAGCATGTCAATGGTGGCAAAGTATTTGCCAAAAATCTTCGTTGAGCAAAATAGCTGTGGCTATATTGACTTTACCTGCAACATCAGCTGCAACCGAGCGTTCCTTTAGTACACAAGGATGGATTCATTCATCTAAAAGAAATAAGTTAAGTATCGATAGAGCTGGAAAAATAACATACATTGCAAGAAATTTAAAATTACTTAATCCTTCACCAAAAAATACAGAAGAAGAATGGGAAGAAGATGAGGAAAGTAATAAAGGAGAGGATGAAATAAGTGAAATTTGTGCTGAGCATGAATAAGTTGAATTTTTAGAAGAAGAATTTACTCAAGACTAATTAGTGATGTTGATGGAATTGAATCAGTATTAGACTTGTTATTTCCTAATGAAATATGTCAATTATTATGTGATATTACTAGTTGATAGAAACTATAGATTATATGGTTTTATTTTTTCATAAATAATTTACATAAAAGTTAAAAAAGTCAAATTCTTTATAATATGTAATAACGAAGGATTATCTATTTTATAAAAAAAAATGTACCAAAAACTTAACTAAATAAACGTTTATAATAATTTTCAATATATTTATTATTTCTGTCCTAACAGTCAAAAATGTAAAATATTTTTTTTATTACAAATTACAAAATTTTTTTTTCATCTTATAATAATTAATTAGTTTTAAATTAACAAGTGCAAAAAGCAAAATTAACTTAAGCAAATTGGCAAGCAAGTTCGAAAGCAAGCCATTTCCTCGGTAAAAAGCTCATCATATTCATCTATATAGATGCGAATGACCGGTAATTTACGGTAATTACGCTGACCGACGGCTTGACGGTAAATTTTACATTCAGAATTTTTTGACGTCAGAATACCGTCAGATACCGGTAATTTTACGTGGTAATTACCGAATTTTCTATTACCGGTAAATTCACATCTCTACTACTGAGTATTTAGGCGAGTTTTTTTCAAGTCAAGTTGGTATACGTGACTTCCAACTTAATCTTCCTCAGTGGCATAAATGACAAGTTCATGTGCTGATTGTCGGAGTCTTGTTTTCGTTCATTTTCCTCTAAATATTTCGGTAAGTAATAATAAAAAAAAATTATTATTAAATAATCTAATCCATTAACTCCTTTAGGTTATTTTTTGTTATCTATTAATATTAAATTGATCAAATGTTTCCTAGATTGATGACACTTTTATGCTTCTTTCAGGTTAAGCCGACAAATAATGGGCAAGAAAGAAGATCAATCAGATCAACAACCATCACAAGAGAAGAGTAAACCAGTTTTAAAGCTATATAACAGTTTGACGCGACGTAAAGAAAAGTTTGTCCCTCAAAATGGTAATGAAGTGCGTTGGTACAGTTGCGGGCCAACTGTTTATGATGCTTCACATATGGGTCATGCTAGGTAAACATTGCTTTCGTTTTATTTCATACAATAAAATAGTTGATTTATTATAATTGGAAATTGAATAAGTAATATTTCATTCCAGATGTTATATTTCTTTTGACATCTTGAGAAGAGTTCTATCAGATTATTTCGGTTACGATGTTACATATGTCATGAACATCACCGACATTGATGACAAAATAATCAAGAGAGCTCGTCAAAATTATTTATATGAAAAATACCTAGCTTCTAATTATGACCTTGATGTCATTCTTGAAGATACGAAAAAGGTGATGCAATCTCTAGCAGCTGATATCGAAGGACTAACTGATATTGATAAAAAGACAATGTTAAGTAAAATGTTGATGAGTATAAAATATTCTATTGAAAATCTTGAAACAGCTGTCAAAAGTAACAACAAAGACAGTATTAAAATGCATCAGGATAATTTATTAATGGTTTCACGTGATGCTCTGGCAGACTGGCTTGATCAAAGACAAGGAGAAACAGTGACTGATAATGAAATATTTCAAAAATTATCACAACATTGGGAAATTGAATTCCACAAAGATATGGATGCTCTGAATGTTATGAGACCTAATGTGCTCCCAAGAGTTAGTGAATATGTACCAGAGATTGTGCTATTCATTCAGAAAATAATTGATCAAAAGTTTGCTTATGTTTCTAATGGATCTGTTTATTTTGATGTCAATTCATTCCATAATTCTGATAAACATTCTTATGGAAAGCTTGTTCCAGAAGCTTTCGGTAATGCTGCAAGTCTTCAAGATGGTGAAGGTGATTTAATGACACAAGATAGAATATCTGAGAAACGATCTCCAATTGATTTTGCACTCTGGAAATCATCAAAGAGTGGAGAACCTGCTTGGGATAGTCCGTGGGGTAGAGGACGACCTGGTTGGCATATTGAGTGCTCGGCAATGGCTTCTACTATTTTGGGAGACAGTCTAGATATCCACACTGGTGGTGTTGATTTGAAATTTCCTCATCATGATAATGAATTAGCACAGTCTGAAGCTTGCTTTGGAAATTCACAATGGGTCAGGTATTTTTTGCATTCTGGGCATTTGACTATTGCTGGATGTAAAATGTCCAAGTCATTGAAAAACTTTATTACTATTCAAGAAGCTTTGAAGAGACATACTGCCAGACAGTTGAGACTAGCTTTTTTGTTGCATTCATGGAAAGATACACTAGATTATAGCGATAATACTATGGATATGGCTATCCAGTTTGAAAAATTTGTTAATGTGAGTATTATTTTTTATTTAATCATCGTTTTGTAGCATAGCTAAAAATTTGAGGAAACATTTTCAGAGTCGGTAGACATAATTAAGAATAAAAAAAAAGATGGTTCCACTCTAGGCAAAAGGTAAGATTGGTAAAAAACATTACATCAAAATAGGTTATTCGTTATTATCTCTAAAACTATAAAAGATACGAGAAAAAGTTTGAAATAAAAATTGAAGACCCGTTAATTTCATAAAAAAAAGCAATTATACTTTAATCTTTATTTCTTGTAGTTTTGCAGTAAAATGACGGCAAAGATGAAGATGATCATTTTTCAACATTTTTCCATTGTTTTTGTCATTTTGTGGGTAAAATATTAGAGATATCGAATATAGTTTACGAACCTTTAATGTGTAAAATGAAAAGATTTCCATTTTTTATCTAAAACTTTTTTTGTTAATTTCAACTCTTTTCTAGAATTAGAGTACTTTTTTACTCACGAAAATAATTTATGATAGCTTTAAAAATGTTTCCTAAAATTTTGAGCTATCCTGAAAAATCTTGATTTGTTAGCTTAGTCAACTGAATTTCATGTGTACCAACACAAACCTAAAAAATAACGTTTTCTCATTTTATCAACTTTTTTTAGGAGTTCTTTTTGAACATAAAATGCAGAATGCACAGCCTATTAAACAACACAACTCCTACAAGCTTCACTAAGTGGAAAAATAATGAAACGGAGTTAAATGAAAAATTTTCTTCTGCTCGAAATAGTATCCACAATGCTCTTTGTGATAACATCGACACTCGAACATCTCTAGAACTCATTCGCGACCTGGTTAGCCAATGTAACATATACACGAAGAATTCAACGAATCCAAATGTGCTGCTTTTAAGAGATATTGCAGTTTATATCACCAGAATTCTTAAAATATTTGGTGCTATTTCATCATCAAGTGATGACATTGGTTTTCCTATTGACAACGAATCCAACACTAACGTAAGTAAACAAAAAATGTTTTATAATTAAATAATATTAAAACATTTTTTTTTTTTAGGTTGAAACAGTGATGCGTCACTTGACAATTCTGTCAGAATTTCGGGAAAAGATGAGAAGTATCGGAAAAGAGATTAAATCTAAAGATATCCTTGAAGAATGTGATAAACTTCGTGACGAAATTCTCCCTAATGTCGGTGTGCGGCTTGAAGATGATGAAAATAATCCAAGTAAGATAAAATTAGTCAACAAGGATGAATTACTACGTGAACGTGAAATGAAAAAAAAATTAGACACTGAAAGAATAATGGAAAAAAAGAAAAAAAAAGTTGAATTACAAGCACAGGCCGCAGTTAAAGAAGCGCAGCGGAAAATACCTCCGTCTGAGATGTTTAAAATGGAGACTGATAAATATTCGAAATTTGATGAACAAGGAATTCCTACGCATGATCAAGACGGTAAAGAATTGAGTAAAGGTTTAATTAAAAAATTGCAAAAGTTGCGGTTGGCACAAGAGAAAAAGTATAATGAATATTTGGCAAGTATTAAACAACAATAATTAATTGATTATTTATAATAAATTATTTATTTAATGGTGCGTTTCTTATTAATTTTAAATAGTTTATATAAAAATGATTTTGTAAATTGAATACAAGATCTTCCTCACAAATAGTAACAACAAGAGTCATAATAAATATAATCATTTTCTCAAGAAGAAAAAAATTGTTTTATATTTTGTGGCTGTAGACAGATTTCCCCCTAGAAAGTTCGTAGCAAATTTTTCTCAATAAATGACGGCGTCAAAAATGGATGAATTCAGTTAATTTAGTACTTAATCGAAAGCTTATATTATTCTTCACATCGGAAAACAACAATATAATAACATTAATTACTTTATCACCGTGCGTGTGTGCGTTCGGAATTATTTTTCGCCTCGATTATCTCGAGAACAAAAAATGATATTGATGTGGGGGTGCCATAGAGTGTCCCGAATGATGTCTACGGCATCATTGTTAACAAAAATGAAATCCCCTAGCGTTTAAAATATACACTAACTATTATATCTCGGGAGCGTGACATCCGTCCCCAATAAGATGTCAGTCAAAGGCATTTTTACAATCTTTTAAATTTAAATCTTTAAATGTATAATCTTACTGATTGTTAATCAAATTCTATGATGCCCAGATTTTTTATCTAATGATCATTTTAAAAATAAGCTTTATTCTTTTAATCTTTTAAAATTGGTTTTTTTTATTTTCAATCATTTAATATTCAATCAAATTATAAAAATTTTTCTTTTTTTAATGTTTATCATTTCGTTGAACAGTCAACTTAAGAAATTAGGACTGGTAAGTTATCTTGCGTCGGTATAGTAGAAAAAAAAATTCAACTACCCGTGAAAAACGAGTTCAGATCTGATCAGATCTGATTTTTTCCGTTAAATTTTCAGATATGAACAGTCTCATAATACTGATCTGATCAGATCTGAATTCTGAATCCATTTTTCTGATGACTTCAGACTATTTCCGATCTGCTCAGACATGAACTGATCTGTTTATATTTGAAAAAGAATATAATTCAGATATAAACAGATCAGTTTATGTCTGAGCAGATCGGAAATAGTCTGAAGTCATCAGAAAAATGGATTCAGAATTCAGATCTGATCAGATCAGGATTATGAGATTATCATATATGTATATATATGTCCAGATCTGCTCCAATCTGAACATGCATTTTGAAGGTAAGAAATGAATATAAAATTAATGACGTAAGGAATATGTTGTTTTGTACTTGTGATTAAAGTTATTTATTGAAGTGGATTTTAAATTTTCTTTCTCATACAGATTTAAATTTTAAAAAAAATAATAATATCATAATCATAATTTTTAAGTTATCAACGAAGCTGTCACTGGTTTCTATTTCCATCTTTCTCGCGCCTTCCTTTTACTTTCATTTCGTACAACTTTTGGCTTATTGTCTCATGAATACTTTTGGTTGATATAAACATTTTATTTGGCCGAGCTTTCTTGTACAATGAAGTTGCTTTACCTGTAATATTTATGTGTATTTTATGAATCTGGATAGCAGAGAATAACATTAATAATTATTCAAAATAATATAAGGTAAAAAACTTACTGATAATTGCTGCTACGGCTAGAGGGTGAAGCATTTCACACTCATCCTCGTTTTGCCTTTTATTTCTTCCAGGATTACCTGTTAAAGTACAGTTGAGAACTTCACTTTGAATAAATACACCGTCCATTAAACGGCGAATAAGATGGGTCGGCTTTGTGGACTTTGTTTTTTTGGCATTATCATAAATTTTCCTATTGATGTAAATTCCATCTTTTAGTTCGCGCATCTAAAAAAATATAATTTGTGAGAATCATCAAGAAAAGAAAATTTAAATTGTATAGAAATAATACAAAAATGTACCAAAGGTACAAACTAAGAATACTCACTCCAGGGTCGTCTTTTTTATGTATCTGATAGTTAAGATGATCCCAATTTTCTTCGTCACTGTCATCGACGTCTTCCTGATTGTCATCTTCATCATTATTCCCATTGCTATTTTCTTCATTGTTATCTGCATCATTACTTTCGTGATCTTCTTCTTCATTTTTATCCACATCATCACTCTTATGGCCATCTTTTTCATTGTTATCTGCATCATCACATTCGTGAGCATCTTTTTCATTCTCATCTGCATTATCGCTATCGTGATCACCTTCGTCATTTTTTCCTGCATCATCATTTACTTTGTCATCATCATTCTTATCTACATCACCATTATCTTCGGAATCTAACTCATATACATCATCTCCTTTATTTGTCACATTTTTATTAAGATTACTTTTCTCTTTCTGCATGTTAGAATATTCGCTTTTATTCTGTTTTTCGTCATTGATGTTTACTTTTCCAATACTTTTTTTTCAGCTTTATTTTTGTTATTATTTGCAGGCTTATTATTTTTAGGATTTGTCATATTCTGGTTAAGTTTCTTCAATTCTAATAAACTTTCATTCCTAGTATGAAGATGTTTCTGAAAAAAACCCATGATTGAAATTTATTTCATTTGCAACAGAGTACTAGGATATGAATAATTTACATACACTAGAGTAATTGATAATGTACTGAGTATTTACCTGCTTCACAAATGGTGATGCATCACTATCTTCACTTACTGACGCCAACGATAAGTTTCTATCTGTTATATTTGACAAAGTAGTGATGTTAGAACTGTGTTTGTTTTCTTCTAATGTCATCAGTGATTCCTTCTTTTTTATTAAACTTTGTACTTGATTTCGAGAAAGGACGTTTTCCTTTTCTGGTTTCTTCGATACTTTGTTTTTGTTTAAAACCTAAAAAAACGGTCCCACTCGCTTAACATCATTATGTATATAATAATAAAAAAGTAAAAATGTAATAAACTCTATGTACTTACATTAGCTTTGGGTTTCTTTGGCTTAAGATGGAATGTCTCCGGAGAATAGGGTAATGGTCTAACCCGTTTCCTTTTTACTTCCTTATTTTCATTATTCAACTCCTTTAGATATTCATCAATCTTACTTTCATCTTTTCACACAATAAAATAAAAAAAATAATTACATTCTAATAATTACAATATCACCAATATTAATATCACCAATATTAATATTATCAGTCTCATCTTTGACAATATCACTATCTTGCACTTTATGGTTATTATTATTTACCTTACACTTTAATAGATACATATTTAAATAAATTAAATTTAAAGAAAATAGAATTTGACGATCTTAGAATTACATTACTTCTAATAAATTGCGGAATTCTATACATTTGTGCGTATCATTGTAGAAATGACGCCATGTAGTTATTGTAACCGTTAGTATTTCACTACCACGTGGTAACGGCCGCCTTCTCATGAAACAGTAAGCATGCGCGTCAACTCTTGACGCATTTTCATGCATGCGGCAAATTTTAAATCATATAATAAAGCTAGATTCAATCTGATCAGATCTGATTTTTGACTTAATAAAAATGATAAACTTTTTTTCAAATATGATCCAATCTGATCAGACCTGATTTTTGACTTAATAAAAATGATAAACTTTTTTTCAAATATGATCCAATCTGATCAGACCTGATTTTTGACTTAATAAAAATGATAAACTTTTTTTCAAATATGATCCAATCTGATCAGACCTGATTTTTGACTTAATAAAAATGATAAACTTTTTTTCAAATATGATCCAATCTGATCAGACCTGATTTTTGACTTAATAAAAATGATAAACTTTTTTTCAAATATGATCCAATCTGATCAGATCTGATTTTTGACTTAATAAAAATAATAAATTTTTTTTCAAATATGATCCAATCTGATCAGATCTGATTTTTGACTTAATAAAAATGATAAACTTTTTTCAGTTCCGATCAGATTCAAACAGATCTGAATCTCCTTAATCTGTTTGCATCTGAATATATATGTCATGTCTATTCAGATCTGAAACGATCTGAAATTCTAATCTGATGATATCTGTACCATCTGATCAGATCTGTACAGTCTCATAATACTGATCTGATCAGATATGGCCATATCTGAACTCGTTTTTCACGGGTAGTGTCACTGTTTTCTAATAGATGACAGTAATCACACTGTTTTCAATCAAAAATTAAAAATGCTTATATGATTTTAAATTTTGAATTGTTTAATAGCAACTTTACTTACCAAGAATAAATATTAGATTGATCTTCTTGAAATGGAGCATAATTTTCTTCAAAACCAATTACTTATATCGATATTTTTCATCGTTAGAGATATACCACATCAAGTTATATTGAGTTAATTTCTTTACAATATCAATTACACAATTCAAAATAATAAAAAAATACTTTACTTTTAAATTGAATTTTTCTTCAATATATTTCCTTTTTTTGTTTCATCAATCATTTAAGTTACTGAATTACTTGCTATTTCTTCAGTTAGTTTGTGTTTTAATTGACTATCAGTAAGACAGTCTTCTAGTATTATCGTAATTATAAATAAAATAAAATATATTATTTGTATCATTAATTTACGCTTAGTTTAACTTTTCTAATAAAGTTAGTTTCTTCCATTGTGTAATGAAATTTTTTAAACAGGTTTTTTTTTCAATATAATTTTTATTTCAAACTCTTTTTTCATTAATGACATATTTTTTAAAAAACAAAATAAATTTTCACACAAATAAATTATATATTAAAGAGAAATAAAATTAAGATCATATTAAATTTTTATTATTACTCAATTTAGTTCACACGACAATTAGTTTTAACACAAAAAAGTAATTTTTTGGGTAAATATTAAAACACATTTAATATATATATTTATACATATTCATAATTCTAAATTGAATTAAATTTCATTTTTCAGATCGATTAATAAACATAATTTGTGACAGTGACATTGAATATTGTAGAATAATGAATGAAACTACACGACAAAATCATTCTCGAGCAATTCAACATACAATTGACTTGTACATTAATAATTTACAAGAGTCCTTGAGAAATGGAAGGTACTTATATAATTTGTTAATTTATTCAATCATTTTATATTAAATTTAAATAATTTGTTATAATATCAATTTATATATAGGATGACATTGTCAGAATATTTGTAGGCAGTAGTTGAACGCACAAATATTCGACGGGAGCTGAGACAACGTGGCTCATAATTTGGAAGTGTAGAAAACCAAAGTTAGAGAGATACCAGCAAATGTAAATTTTCTTAAATATAAATAAAAGTTATACTTATAACTTCAGGAATGATTTTTGAATTCTTTAATTGACCCTGATTATTTTATTTTAAAATAATTGAATTAAGTAGTGATTTATATTAAAATTTATTAATAAATTTATATTCATATTATATTTATATTTAAATTCAGTTAAATTAAGGTATTCATTAAAAATACTGATTTATTTTTATAAAAACTTAAGTAATAAAACTTTTTTTTTTCGTTGCACGAAAATCGTTTATGTTTATTAAAGAAGAGAATAATACTGACAGACATTATTTTTGAAGTTTTTCAACTTTTTAATAATTCAGTTTTCAAATTTTTTTCACTTGGATTACGTTATTACGCTAACATTAAGATGAAAATGTTATTATCATTAGATTATAAGCCTAAATATACTTATTTATGTAGTGGGAATTACATGACATTACATGAGCCAGAAAGAAGACTTTTTTTTGTATAAGCATTTTTAATTTTTGATTGAAAACAGTGTAATTACTGTCATCTATTAGAAAACAGTGACACTAGTTGAATTTTTTTCTACTATACCGACGCAAGATAACTTACCAGTCCTAATTTCTTAAGTTGACTGTTCAACGAAATGATAAACATTAAAAAAAGAAAAATTTTTATAATTTGATTGAATATTAAATGATTGAAAATAAAAAAAACCAATTTTAAAAGATTAAAAGAATAAAGCTTATTTTTAAAATGATCATTAGATAAAAAATCTGGGCATCATAGAATTTGATTAACAATCAGTAAGATTATACATTTAAAGATTTAAATTTAAAAGATTGTAAAAATGCCTTTGACTGACATCTTATTGGGGACGGATGTCACGCTCCCGAAACTTTCTGACTTCAGCCCAGCCTTAAGTCTCCCTCCCTATACCGACTAGCAATATAGGAGTATTACATATATGACGGTAGTGCCTTCGTCACCGCCATTTACACTTGGCGCACGAGATACTACTAAAGTAAACGTGTCTCCTGATGACTATATTTTTTAATGGTTGAATATTCATTAGTTAATAAGACGATATTGAAATATTTTTATGATAAACGTTTCGCAAAAGAATATTTTTTAATTTCCAAATAAAATTTACTGAACGAGAATAGATTCATGAGCGACGATTGGAAAATTTACTTTAATTTAAAAAAAAAAAAAAAAATGAAAATAAATTATTAAAAAAATTAAATGCATAGACAGTCATAATTCAGCAAAAGCTCTCATTTAAACATTGTTGGACATATGTAAGCATCAATAACGCCACTCAATCCGCCAGACTTTCTATAGAAATATCTCTCTCTCTCTCTCTTCTTTGTTGGGTTCTGTCTTTTCCTAACCTCTATTAGGTCGAATCGCACGTAAACAAAGCGTGGTGAAGATTTTTCACAATAAAAGTGAGTCTGAATAATTATTTAATATAAAAGAGTGATTAATTTTCAACTTAAATTATTAAAAAAATGATTTGGGATTTTTTTTTTTCAACTTTATGTATATTTTGCTTGTAAATGTGTTGTGACAGATGTCCACGCTGCTCAATTCAAACTTGTGTTTCTTAAACTCAAAATAACCCTCACTTATCATTAAAGTATCTTTAATTGAATATTAAAATTATTTAAATAATATTTTATAACTTCTTTAGGGTGTTCTAACTTATGCAATTTCTCAAGAATTGGTAAAATAGCTGGTGCAAACATAAGTATCATTTTTGGTTAGGTTTTCACCAATCTGTTGATCAATCTATTCATGACATGGAGTGTATTTTTATCATTTCGATATTTAATGAATGATTTTTTATTTTCAGAATGCCATTAGCTACAAACTATTTGTATCCAACTCCTGCTGAGGAGAAAAAGAAGCACAAATTGAAACGTTTGATTCCAAAGCCAAATAGCTATTTTATGGACATCAAGTGTCCAGGTTGCTATAAAATTACAACAATCTTCTCCCACGTCCAAACACGTGTTGAATGTGAGGGATGTCGCATTGTCTTGTGTCGACCTACTGGAGGAAAAACAAGACTCACTGAAGGCTGTTCTTTCAGAAGAAAACCCTGATTATGTACATAACCAAAAAGAAATATGTTTTTTCAAACAAAATATATAATTAAATAACACAAAAAAAGTTCAGTTAATGAAGTTTATGATCATTATAACCTTAATTTAATCATCATTTTTCAACAATTTTATCAAGAATTAATGTTCTGTCTTCGAAAAAACGATATCTAAATATTTTTCTTCTTTCATCACAGTTATCTAGATTATTTAAAGCTAAACGAATGCTACTTAGCTCAATAAGAACTTGATTATGTTCCTTTTTATCGTTTACTAACCAAACTCGATTGAAATAAGAAAAATATGGAATATCGAATGTGTCCAAGTTGGTGGAGGTACAAAATTGTATTGAACTATTTTTAGCTCTCATACAAGTGTTCAAAGTGTCTTGAATAAGTGCACATAGTCTAGCAATGTGCACATCTTTATGTTCCTTGATGGTAGTGTCTGTAATGTAATGATTTAGATCTTCAATCACAAGAACTGATGGGAGACTTGCAAATGTGTGAAGTTCTGCTAATTGTTTTATTAACACCTCATAATTTGAAAGATATCTGAAATAATTGAAGCATGTTAATTTTGTTGTTAGTTTAGAAGTAAATAGATGAATGATAAAATGATCATTACAGGAATTTAATCATGTTGAAGATCACTGGAGTTATATTTCTATCATGATAAGTTGCTGGAAATGATTTCAACGGTTCTGGCGAAATGTAAAATACTTTGTTGCCTTGCTCAGCTAGATGGAGAGTTGCCTGAAAATAATAATGCTTTTAGTGATTTCTTTTATGGTAAGTACAGGGTGATTATTAATTAATTGCTTACCTCAAACATAAAAATTTTACCATATTCACTTTTAGAACATACAAGAGTTGCATTATTTTTTGAAGGAAACATTTTTGAATACACACACACACACTCATGACAATTGAATAATATCATTCAATCGTGAGAAATAAGTTTCACGTCGAGCTGCTAGATGGCAAGATCGTAATAGAATGATTTTTGTTGAATATATTCAATGAAGTATACTTTATCATGTAATTTTTAATATTTACGTCGATATACATTTTTATTTAATTATTAGGAAATAATTTTACAATCATTGGTTTCTAGAAATATTTTCGACGAACAAATTGTAATCATAGGAAAAATCACATATTAATTAAGAATTATGAATAATAAGTTATAACAGTTGAATTAATTTTCTCAAACTTTTTAGATTTAAGTACATTTGATATTCTCTTGAAAATAGTATTTCCTTATAAAATAATCATCATTAGTGCATTATTACAATAATATATTCAATTATGTATTATTATATATTATATATAAATATAATAATAACTAGTGAATATAAATAAGAGTAATTATAAGTGAAATAAATAAATGTTGTGGAAAAAATAAAAAATTATTAACAATAACTAAAATACTAATTGAATAAGTAAATGTTTTATTTGTTCAAATTTTCTATCTATAGGTAAGAAAGATATATATTAAAATATACTATTTTCAATTGTACTAATGAATATTTCTTCATAATTTTATTGAATGAACTTTAGTTTTGGGAACTAATTGGTTCCCAATTTAACTATAAGAACACTTAAACTTCTTCAAACGTTGTGATTTTTTTATTTACTCTTCAAGCAAATACGAAAACATAGGATTAAAAACAATATCACTTATTGAATTATTTTCATTCTCACATACAGCAATTGATGCAGTCATTTTCCTTTCATCTTCGGCTTGAACACATGCACCATATTTCAATAACATTCTTATGATAGGCAACACTGATTCGTTGTATTCTTGATACATTATTTCACAAATAATCAGAAGTGTCGTTTTGCCATTGTAATCATTAATGTTGGGATCAGCTTTATATTCCAATAATATTTCAATGATGTCCTGGTTTCTGTTTTTACAAGCAATGTGAAGGGGTGTTATCCCACATGTATTCCTCACGTTCACTCGTGCATTGTGTGTAAGAAATGTTTTCACAATGTCAATATAATTATGAAAATACGCAAGATGCAATGGAGTGTTACCATAATCGTTCGCTTCGTTTACACATGCTTTATTCTTAAACAAAGTCTCAAATAGTGCAAAGTTCTTATATCACATAGCATCTATCAGCAGTGTATTGCCAGACTTGTCTGTAATATTAACGTCGGCACCCTTATTCAATAGTATTTCGGACATCTTTTGTTTTACGTCATGGTAATAAAATTCAAAATCATTGAGAATACACATTTGTAAGAGTGATTTGTAAGAGTGATTTTCCACTGGAATTCAAAGTATCAATATCACACAAATGATCTAAAAGCAACTCCAAAAATGGGGCTGAACACTTTTTTTGTAGAGCCACGTTGATATAAGGTAAACCGCCCTATTTCCGGACAGTCGTTGTTTTTGTTAACATTAAGCAATAGTTTACTTATAACCGAGAAAATATTGATGTGATTATATATTTTCATCTATATACTTTCTTATCCTGCTACGAAATTTCTAAATTAAATATTTTTTATTTATAAAAAAAATAATTTCGGTCAGAAAGTTCCCTGATGCTATACGCATAAATAGGCTTGTTACGCCCGAAGACAGCTTATTATGGGTAAAATAGTATTTTCAATTGCATCTAGACTGTTTTTTTTAGAAATTTTCCTGCATATTCGGTAGTGAAGCTGTTAATTTCCCAAGTCTAGGCAGTTCCCTAAATTCAGAAAGTTTCCATATTCCGGACAGTTTTTTACCTAAGAGACTGTGCTGTACTTGTTTAATGTGTTACATTTCATTTTTCGTTTCATGAGTTGATTACATTACCAATCAACATGAAGATTTTTCCCCACGACCGAAATTTAAACCTTATTTCCTTTCGATGAAAACAACATTGATTTCACCTGGAATAATTATCGGTACATTTGATAATATAGTGAAAGTGGAAACGATGGCTATGAGTGGCAACAATTGGAAGCGGCCTGATCGGGACGATATTTGTAATTATGAGAAAAAAAATGTGGTATCAAAAATCTCAGCTCCAGAAATAATTAACAGTAGAGGAATATATGAAGTGCCAGAATTAATACATATTAAACAGAAGTTGTTAAGTAAAACACAATAAGACTTGTATTTCTATTTTTATATTTACCTTAAATATTTTATTTTTTGGAACAATTCTATTTTTGTTAAATAATTAAATAAATTATTTTTCTATGCAAAAAATGTTATTAAATTTTCTGTCTAAGAGTGAAGTCCTAAATTGTCAAATAAAAAATATTTGAAAAAACTTCAGGTTTAGATAGGCCGGAATTAGGCGCAGAAGTGTCCGGAATTAGATCGGAGTAAGTTTTCTGTCCGAAATTAGGGATATAAGTTTGTGGTCAATGACACTAACATAAATTTTTATTTAAAAATATTTAGATATAAATAAAAAATATTTTGATGATTGATTAATAATCGCCAAATATTAAAGTTAACAATAGCACGTTTTATTTTGTAAATTGATAATTTAATACTTTTATATTATTAAAATGAATGTGATGTAACTTAAGTGTCCGGAATTAGGACAGTTTAACTTAGGTGATCAAGTTGGAGTCATCATAGCTATGAGTGTCATTCTTCAGTATGAGTTTTATCATGTCCAAATCATTATTTATCACAGCCAAACTCAAAGGTGTAATATTGTTAATATTCTGCCATTTTTGCTTAATTTGTTCATATTCTTGGTCTGCTTTATTTTCAATAAGGACCTCAACTAATTTTTGGTGTTAGCATAATTTAGCAATGTGTAGGAGCGTCAATCCTGTGTATTGATTGATCGCATTTAAATTAATTTTTTTCTCAATTAGCTCCTTGATAACTGCTCTATATTCATTTTTTATTGCTAAATAAATAAAAAAACTATCATTGCGTTCTTCATCACTGATCACAAAATCATTCTCGAATAAAATTTTAATGCAGCCATTGGATACTTGGCCATCCGTTCGTACGTAGTCTTCTGTGATCTTTTTTGTCACTTAATTTTTCGAATTTGTACGAAAGCACCACATATTTAACCACATTTATTTTCCCCTGTTTAACTGCAGCATCTAAAAACCTCTTCACAGTCACTGATGAATACGTTTTTATTGAACTCAATGATAGTTTCATCCTCTTTTCTTCATTTTTTATTTCGATGCTTCTCATCAATGATTCTACCTCTTCTTGAAGATACATTTCCTTCATCAAGAGCAGTTCTGTAGCATTGGTCAACACTAGTCTTCTAGTTGCCGTCTTATCTCTGTGCATCATAGCATTACAAAGTTGTTTGTGTTTTTCAGACTCCTTTAAATTCTTCATGATGATTGCAAGTACCATTAATAATTATGTTTTACTTTCACCAACTTTAAACACTTTTCATAAACAAATTTTCACACGAGTGGAATTAATCAACTGTTTTTGTTCAACTGAACTGTAAAATCGAGCTTCTAAGTGCGAGAAGAGCGTCTCTTTGACTAATGATGTGATTGTTAATAATTTTGGCAATTATATCAATTATATTAGATCCCCACCAACATGATTCATGAGCAACCAATACCAAAGTATTTTAGCACCACCCCTTAGACTCTGCAGGGGCGGGCAAACTTTGACTTTTGCAGAGTACCAGTAGAAATATCTACGTAGTAAATCTCATACCTCTCTCACTTTTACTCACAAGAATGATAGTAACTAAAAATTATACCTTGAGATATCTCCCGAGACAGAATTAAAAATATTTTTTTAACTTCAAAGTCTTCAATTCCAACTTTGAAGTTGAAATTTGAATTACAAGCATATCATCATACATGTAATCTAAGCCCAATTTCCACTTCATTTTTGTTGTTTCGTCCGAAAAAGGAATTCAAGATTTTGGAGTTGAAACTGAATTTTAAATTCAGTCTCGGAGAGTCACTTTCGCTCTGAAGAGCCACGTTTGCCCATTTCTAAGATGTAGAGTTTTCCGTGCTTTTCAATCGCATTACAATTTCAAAGTCATTCCCTGATGAAATTATATCAACTGTTGACTGAGAATTGCAATTGGGTTCCCGGGAAAAAATAAAATAGATCCATACAGATCCACATTTTCGCCATTTTTTAGATCTAATTTGATCTATTCACATCTAAAAAACTAGAGAAAATTTGATCTAAGTGAATCTATGTATATCTAGTGAAATCACTGTATATGTACACAAATTACAGTATATCGATGAAGATCTCCATTGATATTGATAATAAAAAAAAATTCAATACAGAGATCACAGAAGATCTAAAGTGATCAAAACAGATATACACAGAACACAGTTGATCTAATTGTGCCGAAAAATAGATCTCAGTAGATCAATGTAGATCTATTTTATTTTTTCCCGGGTTGATAGTAAACTTAGTGTTACTTTAAAGTATTTGGGAGTAAGTTTATTTGAAAAAAATAGGTCTGAGCACACTTTGTCTGTGCTAACACGACGAACTTCCCATTAGTAATTGTTTATAACAAATTGAAATAGTTATAATCAATGTTTGTTGAAAACATCCAAATACATGTGATATACACATTACTTATTCAATAAATACAATTTTTAATTGTTTATAACAAATTCATATTGTTATAAACAATGCGTTATTCAAGATCTGAAAGAAATTTGAATGAATTCGATCGAGCCGTTTTACATTTTTATATTTTATATTTTTATAACAAAATAATTAAGAAAAAAAATGAAAAGATTAGCTATTTAAAATACTTTTAAGCCAAACAATAACAATTTCATTTGAAAATTGTGTCGATACTGACTAGACATTATTGTTCACAACTAAATATAACTTTTATCAAACATGCATTGTTTATAACAATACGAATTTGTTATAAACAATTGAAAATTGTATTGATCGATTAACTATACATATACATATATATAACAAATAATCTTCTAAGAATTTTAGTCTAAATTGACTAAAATTTCCTAGCTAAAAAATTAAAAACTACTGGTTTCTTTTATAAATTATTATAATTCAGAAATATATTTTATAAATTTAGATATTTATTTTCTATTCAAGATATTCATTAAAATTACTTATATCCTTATATAAGAATATAAGTGACATTGAATATTAAATTTTTTTCACTGCAACTGTGAAAAAATTAATTAATATTTTTGAGTCAAAGTTCTTAATCCATTTTGCTTTAATAAAATATGTAATGTAAATTTTTAGTTTTTCATGATTGTATTTTTCACTAAGCTATAAAATCTCTGTAATATGAATTGTACACGGGAAAGAATTTTCTAATATGATCATATAAGAAAATTGTTCCTTGGGTAATTGCTAGATAAAGCTATTTATGATCATACAATTGATCTGAAGATAGTATGTTTTTCAATTTTTATCAATTACAAACTCTTTTCAGAAGAATAGAAATCAAATTAAAAGCGTGTGAGAATGGAATGACACTAATTAAGTTGCGAAATGTGTATGATATTTGGAATACTTGATGGAATGACATAGAGGTAGTAAGTTGGAAAGAACACAAGATTTATTTGAGCAATATCTTGAAAAAGATCTCCACTTAAAGTTATTTACTCACTTGATATAATTTTTATTGTCAGTTTTATTGTTTTATTGTACGAGTACTTTTAATTGTGAATGGGACTTTGAATTAAAAAACGTAGCCCATACCCGTTTTATGCTACATTGGGAGAAGACCAAAAACTAGCTAAGTCTGTTGTAGAAATTTATGAAGATTTTGGAAATAATTTTTAGATATTTAATCCGAATTAAATATAGGTTCATGTACGAGTTCATCAGGAAGCTTTGGAGGATGAAATTCTAGTATTTTTAACATTTAAAGGAATTGATAAACAATAACAAACATAATATTTTCTAGAAGAATAGACAAAAACATTGAATGAATAATTCTAGAATGTTTAACGTTAAACTCGTATGATGATTGATTTCGTGCTGACTTAAAACAATATTGCCTATATTTTCATGATATATAGCTGGAGTATCACTTTACTTTCCAACAAGATCTCGTCAGATCTGTGTAGGTATAATTAAATCAGATCCAATTGGATCTAGTTAATAGACTATCAAATAGAGAGATCTAAAGAAATCTGGTCAGATCTAATAGTCGATATGATTAGACTAAATATATTCTCATCAAATCAGTGCAAGTTTAATCCATCAGGTCTGTTCAGATACGGTCAATATATAGGTATAATAAGATCAATAATTTTAAGGTAAATAATTCAACAAATATTCTGATTAATTATAAAAAAGTATTTTGTAAAGTATTTTCAGGCTCAGGTCAATAGGAAATTTTTTGCTCTCACGTACAACAAAACCAAAACAGAATTTACTATGGTCCGTGGCAAGAATTTATAATGACCAAAGAGTTTTTTGAATTGTATTTTATTAAATTTATTGAAACTTTGCAGATAGTCCGCTAATACTACAAATCTAAAGTAATTTTTCCGTACATATAATCCTGCAAACCATGTTGTAGATCATTTATAATTATCTTCTACATGTAAAAAACCAATAAATAAATCATGCTCTGTGGAGAAAAATTTAAGCTAATAATACTCAAATACAGCCCAGCTTTAATTAAGACCACAATCGTCGGAAAATTTTTTTTTGTTCAAACTTTAATTTCAGAGTAGAGGCATTGGTCAATAAAGTATTCATAGGTTCGATTTTTACGTGACTGTATACTGCATAATTGTTGTACGAAGCATAAGAATTGTAGTGATATTCGAGAAGTAGAAAGGGCGTATGTTTGTCCCTATAGGATTCTGGCCTGAACCAATAAAAATAAAGATCTGCCCATTGGTTGAACAAAGAAATGGAGAAGCGTCGTTAGAGATATGAATAAAAAATCTGATGGAAAATACCTGTAAAAACATTCTTCAAATATCAAGTCAAATATTGTCTTTTACTTATATTTCATATTCCTTCTGAATAGCATGAGAAAAATCAAACAGTGGTCAGAACAGAATGAAACTAGCGTTTTCTAAAATATTATCAAAATTGTTGGTAATATCTAAAAGTACTAAAAAGAAAGATCCAACCTCAGAGACTTTTCGGTTTTGTTTTAATTTTCCACCATTTACCTGAAAGCATCCACAAAATCCCAGCATTTCCAACTACTATTATAGTCCAAACAAATCTATTAGTAGTGACTAGACAATTACTTAATGGGCACTCGTAAATCAAGTAATCAACTAGAATTGAAGTAAAATTGTATTTGCTCGTCTAGTATAATAATGTACGTACCTGAGTCGTAATCCGGATCGTCAATAGCTTTACTGCTGGTAAGTCCCAAAGTTTATTCATCAGGTCTTGTTTTGATTTAGAGAGGATACCATGGTATTGTTTAATTGCCTTTAATAAAGTCCAATAATACTTTCCAGGTACGCTTCGGCCGGTTACATTAAGACTGAGTAAGAAAGGCACTAATTCTATGTAAGATCTTTCATAAATTTTTCTTTCTTTGCTTTGAATTAGTTAAAGCTGATCCAGTGGTAAGTACTGCTGAAATTTACCAATTATTTCGCTTCAAAGAATGAAATGCTTAGTCCAGAGGTTAGGAAACTTTGATTTTTGCCGCTACCTAGTAAAATCTTGTACTCCTCTTACTTACTTTGTCCACCTCTGACTTAGTCAATCTTTATTGGAGAACATTAGTCCCAACCCTGTTCTTTTTACTCCCTAGTTCTGTTTGAATATTTGCGTAGGAACAAAAACATTGTAGTAGGAGTCAAAATATGTGAAAGAGGGGAAATGGATTATTCAAATAACTTGTAAGAAAATTGTTTTTCAGTTAAACGCTAGTATTTGCCGCTCTCCTTACTCGCTCCAGAAAAATTATTAATATTTGTGTAATATTCAATTATTAGTGTCAGTGATTTCAAAGTAAAATTGATTGAAAATTAAACATACTCTCACTTTATATTAAATCAAAAAATGCCGTGCTGGTACTTTGAACACGAAGACTTAAAAAATACACCCTCAATTCAAGATGGAATGGATTATGGGACTGAGTGTCAGTACAGAAAAGCAGGTGCCAGGTTAATTATTGATATTGGTTTTCAAATGAACCTGAATTATAATACAGTGGCTACTGGAGTTGTTTACTTTCATCGGTTCTACATGCTCCAATCATTTAAGCAATTCCCAAAATATGTAAGTATATATATATATATATATATATTATAATGAAGGCTTAATTATAAATAAGTATTTTGAATGAATAAATTATTTACTTTTACATGAAAGACCAATTAATTAATTTTTTTATGATTTCTATCTCTAGGTCACAGCATGCTGTTGCTTATATCTAGCTGGAAAAGTAGAAGAAACTCCAAAAAGATGTCGAGACATTTTGGATACTGTCAGATCACTATTACCTCCACATGAAATCAAGATTTTTGGAAAAGATTCCAAGGTATATCTATAGATAAATGATTTATCTCAAAAAGTAATAAAATAAATTATAATTTATTAAATATTTTCTATTCAAGTAAAATTATTAATTATATTGAGAGACGAGTTTGATTGAATTAATCAAGTACATTAAATTGATTCCTGGCTAATAACATTCATTAATTTATAAGAAATTTTGGTAAATTTTATGATTAAAAAATTGAAAGTTTGTTAAACATTAATCGATTTAATTTGAAAACTACATTTTTAGTGACGACAGTCTTCAGTAAGCATCTGTAATCACATATCTTATTGTGCTTTTTTGTTACATGTAGTTTTTTTAAAGTTTTTTTTTAATCGGAAGCATATTTGTAAAGCAATATGTATTTAACAATTTGGCAAAAATCCGGTAAATTATCGGTAACATATTTTTTCTGTGTAAATATAGTTTAACTGTACAGTTCTTTAACTTATATAACTCTGTATTATCTCAGTACAGGAAAATCATGGTGATAACTTGTTTTTTTTTGTAATTTTTCCACTTAATTCTTTCGAGTTAAATATCGAAAAATTCCGGTACACATATTGTATAAATTTATCAATATCTATAGATTTTTTATACTACCATTAATAAAAATAACATGTATTTATAATAATTTTATGTTTACTAAAAGTCACTTCTGCAAAAGTGTCAACTTCTTTTTAAGTATTAAATTGTTCAACCCGAAAAGAGCTAGGATTTTTTCGTAAAAGAATTTCATATTTTTCTAAACTCAGATTTTTCCGGTAAAAAACCAAGTTTTTACTGTATATTCTTTATAAAAAACGGATAAAAAGTTGGACAAATTAACTGCAAAAATATCTCTTTATTCTAACATTTTTTTAGTGATTTTACAGTTTTTTCTCCAATTTTCTGGAAACTGTGAGGGAATGTATGACTAAATACATAGATTTTCTTTAAAAAAATTATCATTGAAATACCTGAGTCAGTTAAGACGTTAGTTTTGAAGTGCTTGCGTTGTAGTAGTCATAGTTTTAAATCTTCACAAATGAAATTATATTATAACATAAAAAAGTAAATTAAGATTTTTCACAAATACATTAGAAATAAGAAAAAATTCAACCAAATTTTTTTCTTTTTTTATTAAGCATGCAAATAGGCACTTGAATTGAATGATATTGACATAATTATAATTTTATGTTGTATTCTTACAAACTAATAATTTTTCGAATCGATAAAATACTTGGTCATCCAAAATAGTAATTTGGTAATTGAATATTTATTATATCACATTCACGTATGTCCTTCGTTAACCATAACTAAATCTTGGTTGATAGAAAACACTCTTTAACACTCTTTTTTTAGAATTCTCTCAGTATACCTCAAGTCACTTAATATATTAACATATGTATCAATGAATTTTTCTTTATGTTTATTTCAGCAAGAGATATTAACTCTCGAAAAGGTTCTACTTCAGACGATCAAATTCGATCTTGAAGTTGAACATCCCTATAGTTATTTGCTAGAATATGTTAAATCGTTAAAAGGAGACAAACTCACACTAGAAAAGATGGTTCAAATGGCTTGGACTTTCATTAATGATAGTTTATGTACAACATTGTCATTACTTTGGGAGCAAGAGATCATTGCGATAGCTGTGATACATCTGGCTAGTAAGTTAAATAAATTTGAAATCGTCGACTGGAAAGGTAGGCAACCAGAACAGTCTAGATGGTGGGACATGTTTGTTGAAGATTTATCATTGAATCAGATTGAAGGTAATATTTAATTCCATCCATGGTTCTCTATTTCTGTTATTTGAAATTAATATTAAATATATTACATATGGTTTATTGTAACATTTTTTTTTTCAGAGATTTGCCGTCAAATTTTGGATTCAGTATTCATAGATAAATGAATGATATTACCTCATTCAACGTTTGATCTTCCACGACTTCATCTTCATCATCTGCATGGAGAATATAATATATATTATATTCTCCATGATCATCTGCTTTATCTGGATTTTAATATTTATCGCTATTTTAGCATTTAATACTTGTACAATGTGTTGTAATTAATCTAAAAAAATTTTGAAGAATTTCTGTTATGCGATTATTATTGTCTATGTAAATATTTTTATTTAAATTTTTTAATAAAAATTTTACCATTTTTTATATTAAATTATTGTAATTTTGTTGTGATATCGAAATAGAAAATTAGTAATAAATTAAAGTGTATTGACGATTGAAAAAATAAGGTCATTCAGTAACATATTTTTATATTAGAAATTTTGTTTTTCAACTTAAAAATACTTTTTTCGAAAACAATTATCGCAAATAGTGTTGTTTTATTTTTTTATTTTATAAAATTACAACATTACGACGTCAGCATTTTTTTCGTTTTCGATATCTTAAGAACGGATCAAGATATCAACTTGAACCAAAATTAATTCGAAAGATATTATTACAAAGAAGATCTGAAAGAAATTTGAACGAATTCGATCGAGCCGTTTTTTTTTTAATAACAAAATAATTAAGAAAAAAATGAAAAGATTAGCTATTTAAAATACTTTTAAGCCAAACAATAACAATTTCATTTGAAAATTAAGTCGATATTGACTAGACATTATTGTTCACAACCAAATATGGCTCTTAATAATCACGCAATAACTATTTAAATTTGTTATAAACAATTACTAATGGGAAGTTCGTCGTGTTAGCACAGACAAAGTGTGCTCAGACCTATTTTTTTTTAAAAAACGGCATCAATGAACACGAGTGCATGTTGGTATCATGCTTATCTTGTATGATCTAGTTTACCGGCAGTAAATTGTGAAGAGAGCACCAGTGAATGCCGTGTGGGGCGAAATTAATCATTTTCATTAAGAATAAACTTATAACTAATGCATTCAATACATTTTTTTCAATTTATTCAATTTCAATCAATCATTTATCGTAGCAATTGTACAAAATAAAACTTTTTACTTTTACACTTTCTATCGAATGTAAGGAGTTAACAATACTTCATAATAGTTAGTGTATATTAAAACCGTCAGGGGATTCAATTTCTGTTAACGAGAATGCCGTAGATGTTTCTGGCATTCGAAACACTCTATGGCACTCGTTTGTTACAATAAAAAATTCATTTAATTATAAAAATATATAAAAAACTCTGATTTTTGATTTATTTTTAATTGACAAATATTTGATTTGTAAATTTAAGTTATTGTTTAGAGAAGAAATGAACAAATGACTTTTAAAAATGGCGCAGTAATTATTTATCTGCGTTGAAGTACGCAACAAGCAGCAAGTGACTATTCTCAATAAATGTATACTTCAGGTCATTGTTGTCGTTGCCTTTTCATACACCTGATGAGATATTCTTGTCAAACTTCAGTTGATCACGACTTTTCGTGGGCGATTCATTCATTATTTATAATTGTAAATCTTTTTTAAATATTTTTTAAGACAAAAATGTATTTTTTACTCACTTTTCGTTCGAATAGTAAGTGATAACTGTAATTATGTGGATTTGAAAGTTGTGAAATATACCAACAATATGGTATATGTGAATAATAATGAGTCCATTTGGTAATCGTTTGTAGAGTGAGTGTTGCAATAATACAAAATGAAAGTTTCACTCTAAACAAGAAAAGTATTATTAATTAATAGTAAAAATAATGATGGAATTTCTGAAAAAATAATTGATAAAATGTTTATTTGATGAAATGAAAAGGCATAATCCATTTTTAACAATAAAAAATAATTGATAATGGCTGTTGGGTATCAAGTATCATTTGAGACACAGGTGTCTGTGAATAACAAACAACAGCAATTATTGTCAAGTACAAGCAAGTGGAGTCCAATTTACTGCTATTTTTCATGATAACTTGTTAAAATAATTTTTTATGCCCACTTTTTATGCTTTAATTTATTTTTATATAAATCATTTACACCTGTGTAAAAGAGTCTTCCGTGTTATTTTTGCATAAAAAACAAATATTTTGAAAAATAATATTAAAATAAATTTTAAAAAATGACTTTATACTCTCTACTTTTAATCTTAATTCTTCTGGTGACAATTACGTATTCAGCTGACTTGGCTATTGAAATACCTGGAAATTTAAGTCAGAGAGAGTCATGGTACCGTTTGGATTATAGTCCACCTGTCGGATATCCACCACCAAACACAACTATCGCAGCAACAGACATTGGAGACGTGATAAAGTTTCAAAATGGTTTACCAGGTACTAAATACGAGTTCTGGTTATATTACAGCAACGGAACACTTCACGATTGGTTAACTTGGACAGCATCAATCACAACAGCACCAGATCCACCATCAAACTTGACAATTCTTGTTAGAAATGGAAAAACAGCTATTGTTTATTGGGCACCACCAAGTCAAGGCAACTATACGAGTTTTAGAATCAGAGTTCAAAGCTTTAATGATGCAAGCAATCCACCATCAACTACTAGAACAAGTGTTATACAACCAGATAATATTCCTTATACCTTAAGAGATTTAATTCCTGGTGCAACATACTCACTTCAATTGTTTACCGTGCTAGATGCTAAAGAAAGTGTAGCATATACCAGCAGAAACTTCACCACGAAGCCAAACACACCAGGAAAGTTCATCGTTTGGTTCAGAAATGAAACGACATTGCTTGTTTTATGGCAGCCTCCTTATCCAGCTGGAATTTATACTCATTACAAAGTGAGTATTGAACCACCAGATGCTATAGAAAGTGTATTTTATGTTGAAAAAGAAGGTGAACCACCTGGACCAGCTCAGGCAGCTTTCAAAGATCTTGTTCCTGGTCGAGCTTACAACATATCAGTCCAAACAGTGTCTGAAGACGAAACATCAGCACCAACAACAGCTCAATATCGAACTGTACCACTTAGGCCACTTAATGTTACCTTTGACAAAGCTTCAATTACCTCCAGTAGCTTTAGAGTCTATTGGAGTCCACCAAATGGCACCTCAGAATTTGATAAATACCAAGTGTCTCTGGGAAGCAATAGAAGATTTTCTCCAGTTACCAGAAATAGATACGAGGAAAATAGCAACATATGGAAGTTTAAAGACTTGGAAGCTGGAAAGACTTATCAGGTTGTTGTTAAAACCGTTTCTGGTAAAGTCACCAGCTGGCCAGCAAGTGGAGATATCACACTCAAACCACTTCCTGTGCGTGACCTACGTGCCAGCATTGATGATCGTATGCTTGAAGTCTCATGGAAACCTGACAATACTTCCACCCAGGACAGCTATCGTCTAGAGTACCATGAAGTGGATTCCATCACTTCTATCAGTGGTGACAGCAACAGTTTGACTACCGAAAAAACCAACGTTATTCTTGAAGCGTTGCTTCCTGGAAGAAATTATACTATTATTGTCCAAGCCATCAGTAATAAAGTAGAGTCTAATGAAACAATCATCTACCAAGTGACGAAACCTTCAAGTCCGATCATTGAAGATTTGAAATCAATTGAACGTGGATTAAATATCTCTTGGAAAAGTGATGTTAACTCGCGTCAAGAGAAGTTTGAAATTACTCATACAAGAAACGACACTGGAGAAAGTGCGACAACACTCACAACAGAATCTCATATTATTTTAGAAGATCTTTATCCAGGTGCTGGATATGAAGTTAAAGTATTTGCTATCAGTCATGGATTAAAGAGTGAACCTCATGATTACTTCCAAGCAGTGTTACCACATCCACCGCAGCATCTTAGAATTAACAAAGTTAACAATAATAATTCAGTGTTTGTCCATTGGAGTCCACCAATAAATTCCCTGTTCTCTGAATACACAATCAGGTACAGAACTGAAGACGATTCCAGATGGATTAAACTTCCAAGTGTGAAGGAGACTGAAGCTGAAGTCACTGACATGACACCTGGAGAAAAATACACCATTCAAGTTAATACTATTAGTTTTGGCGTTGAAAGTTTGTATCCTCTTCAAGTGAATCACACTATTCCACCAAATCCAGTTGTCAACATTACCCCCGTCGTCGACTCAACTAACGTAACGCTAGAATTCTGGAGACCTGAGGGTAGGATTGAGCTTTTTATCATCACCTGGTGGCCTGTGGACAACCCAAGTGACTGGAGATCAAAAAATGTGTCAGGAATAATCAACGTTGATGATGAAGATGAAGAATTTTTTGCTGAAGAAGAAAATAAACTTGAAAGATTCATCATAGAATCATTGATGCCAGGAGTAAAATATGGTTTTTCAATTTCCACAACTTCTTACAACCTCTATAGCGATCTTATCAACATCACCGCTCGTACGATGCCGTTGATTCAATCAGAGGTAGTGATTGTTGTTGATAGAGATCTGCCTGATTCATTGACCCTTCGTTATACTAGGACTCCAATTCAATCATCAAGATTCGACCTGTACCGATTTAGAATCAGCGACAAAGAAAACACCACCAAAGAAAAGCTTAGAGATGATGCTGATACCAAAGTGACCTTCAACAATCTCACTCCAGGGAAGCTTTATAATGTGACAGTATGGACTGTGAGCCAAGGAATTCAATCAAGACCTTTATTCCGTCAAGACCGACTTTATCCTGAAGCTATCACGGAAATCAGTGCTCTTGACATCAACGACACCAGTATTACGCTGACTTGGGATGTACCTGATGGCGAGTTTGATGCTTTTGAGGTTCAATATATCAATAGTGATGGGGGTTATAGTCAGAATATCACTTTAATCAACAGAATCACCATTTCAGACTTGAAACCTCATAGGAATTACACATTTACATTGGTAGTTTGTTCAGGACACTCTGAAAGTCATCATCTACGACGTTCTCATCCAGTGAGCGCAAGTTTCACCACTAGTGAATCATACCCAGGAAAAGTCGAAAAGTTTTATCCAACGGATATTCAACCGAGTGAAATCAGTTTTGAGTGGTTTTTGCCAAGCACTGAATTCAATGGAATTATCAAGAAGTTTACTATCACTTATGGTCTTGATGGATCAACGCATACTCAAGTCAAGGATTTTAAGTCTAATGAGTTAAGGGGAGTTATCAAAGGTCTTGTGCCAGGGAAAGCATATTTATTCCGAATTCAAGCAGAAACCAGGGTTGGATTTGGTCCGGAAACGATATGGAAGCAAAAGATGCCGATTTTAGCACCACCAAAACCTCCCACTCAAGTCGTACCAACGGAAGTTTGTCGCAGCAGTACCACAATACAGATTCGATTCAGGAAAAATTATTTTAGTGAACAACATGGAGCTGTTACTTCATACACGATTATTGTTGCTGAAGATCACAGTAAGAATGCCTCTGGTTTAGAGATGCCAAGTTGGAGAGATGTTCAGGCTTACAGTATTTGGCCTCCTTACCAAGTAAGTCATTAATCATTAGCATTGATGATGAATCAGAATTTTTCAGCATAACCATTAATTTAAATCTAGTATTTTATGATTATCTTGAAAAATATTAGAGATATAAAAGCTTCAAATAAAAATTAAAGAGAATTTCAATTTTGCACTAAAAAGTCTTGAGACTTGGTTCTCTATCTCTTATAGTTGGATGGTAATTTGATGATAAACATAAAAAAAGATTAGAAATTGATTACCCCCATCTTTACCGTTATTTTATAGCTCAACTATAGGAAATGGGAGTTGGAGAGTAATGACCTTTTTTGTATAAAATGAATAGACCTTTAAGTTTTATTTGAAACTTTTTCCTGTATCTTTCATAGTTTTTAAGATAATCACAAAAAATTTAGTTTAAGACGCCTCGAGCGGAAAAATATAGATATATAAAAGTATATGAACTTTTGCGCACTAATTTTAGGCAAATAAATAGATAAAATAAGAAAATATATATAGGAAAAGATTCGCGCAACAGCAATTTATGGAATGAAACGAGATGAGGACGATTGGTTGAAGAATAAGCAAAATATCCGAAATTAAAAATCTAAAGCAATTTGACAGATTGTTTTTCATATTTCTAACTCTCACTCGTTTACATATGGCCGAAAAACAATCTGTCAAATCGCTTTAGACTTTTAATTTCGGATATTTTGCTTATTCTTCAACCAATCGTCCTCATCTCGTTTCATTCCATAGATTGTTGTTGCACGAATATTTTCTTGTCGATATTTTATTATTTTATCTACTTATTTGCCTAAAACTAGTGCGCAAAAGTCCATATACTTTTATATATCTATATTTTTCCGCTCGAAGCGCCTTAATATGATTTTTTTTGCTAAGATAATTGATACCATAAACCTGTCTTTTGTATTCAATGAAATTTCATTAATCCATTTATTCCCTAGGTCATGGAACCATATTACCCATTCAAAAACAGTTCAGTGGAAGATTTCACCATCGGAAGTGACAACTGCGAGAAAGTTGTTGGATATTGTAATGGACCTCTAAAATCTGGATCAACATATCGTGTTAAAGTCCGTGCTTTTACTGCTCCTGATAAATTTACAGATACAAGTTATAGTTTTCCAATTCAAACAGGTAATTAAACCGTTTTATTTCACTATTCTGTAGCTTTTTAATCTAAAAATTAATAAAATAAATTAATTCACTAAGGATTGCTGCTTATGGCAGCAGGTGAGGGCTTGAAATTTGTTTCTTTTATCACATAAAATCCATTGGTGTTCTTCATAAATTTAATCAAAAAATTACTTTTTAGACAAAGACAATACAGCCATAATCGTTGGTATCACAGTACCAATTGTTTTATTGCTGACATTACTGGGAATCGGATTATTAGTACGTAGACATCGAAATCAGTTACGAAAAATTACAGAACCACGTGGAAATGGGCCGACAGATAACCTATCACTTCCCGATAGTGTTATTGAGACTAATAGACCAATTAGGGTGGAAAACTTTGCTGAACATTATAGAATCATGAGTGCAGACTCTGATTTTCGTTTCTCAGAAGAATTTGAAGAATTAAAACATGTTGGCAGGGATCAACCTTGTACTGCTGCTGATTTGCCCTGTAATAGACCAAAGAATCGTTTTACGAATATTCTGCCGTATGATCATAGCCGGTTTAAACTTCAACCTGTTGATGATGAAGAAGGATCTGATTATATTAATGCTAATTATGTTCCTGGCCACAATTCTCCGAGAGAATTTATTGTTACTCAAGGTAAACTATTGACATCAAATATATGTGATAATTATTGTCATTCTTCAAGCAAATTATAGTGATGAATCAATGTAAATGTCAGAATACAGTTGATGGTAAGTTGTAGTTGGTCTAAAGTGTGATGAATACTTACTGAATATATTTAGAAAATTGGAGGAGGTCAAAAAAATGTTTGGAATCAGTAAATAAACTGCTATACATTTTTTAGTCTCTTGTCAGCAGAGTTGGAAAATAAAAATTTTCCAGCATGGCTAAAAATTTCATGAAATATTCAAGGAATCGGTAAAAATGATCAGCAGCAATCAAAACAGTGTTTCACACAAAAAAGGTTCTTAGACTTTATTATTTATTTCTAATAGTTTCGCTGCAAATTTTGATCTTCATTGTCAGTTTACAGTTAAACTATAGAAGATACCGAATAAAGTCGAGGAATTCTTTTTTTTAAATTAAAATACCTGTAATTTTTATTCAAAGAATGTTTTTATATTTTTTATAGTTTTTACAATAATCACGAAAATCTGGGTTCAGTGTAATTTTTTAGTCTTACTCTTTGTCTGGGATGAAAGCCGTATTTTTACCATTTCTCACTATTCCAACAATCCTAAAAATATTTTCCGAAATTCCAAGCAATACTGAAAAATGCCGATTTTAATAGTCATTAAATTATTATTATTCGAATCCTACAGTATTATTATGATGTACACAATAAGTAGAGAATAAAATTAAATATTGTTCAATTAATCTTCAGGTCCACTTCATTCCACACGAGATGACTTCTGGAGAATGGTTTGGGAAAGCAATAGTCGTGCTATTGTCATGTTAACACGATGTATCGAAAAAGGAAGAGAAAAGTGTGATCATTACTGGCCTATGGATACTCTTCCAGTCTATTATGGCGATATTTGTGTGACTATTTTGAATGAAACCCGATATCCTGATTGGAGTATTATGGAATTTATGCTTTGTAGGGTAACGTATTTATTTTATATATAATCAATTATCTTTTTTTAATTTCAAAAGTAGCAGATGAAATCATTACATTCAATTAAATCTAGGATTTACAGCTTTTTTCAATGAAAAAAAATTATGAAGAATAATTTAAAAACCCGAAGCTACTGGCACTATGGAGAAGAAATCGATAGATTAAAAAATTGATATTAATCGATTCAAGTATATTCGATTAATCGTATTAATATTGATTTTTTGAAAAAATAAATGATTATCAAATATTTTGTAATTCAATTTTTGAAAAATTCGATAATTGATTGTTATTTAATTGATCAATATCAATCAATTGATCTTTTAAAATATTGATATCTTCGATACAATTAATTTGTAAAATTACAATTTATGAATGTATGTATTCGATTGTGAACGATTGATTATTGTGACTTAATTTTTTGCAAAACTTGACCAAACTCGCGAATATCTTTATTTATTAAGAAATCATTTGTTTTATAAAAAGCATATTTTTAAATTTTCTAATATTTTTATTAAAAAAAGAAATTTCTTTAATTTTAGGGTGACGTCAAGCGGGTTATTCAACATTTCCACTTTACAACCTGGCCAGATTTTGGAGTACCAAGTCCGCCTCAAACACTGGCGCGTTTTGTGCGAGCATTTAGAGAACGAGTAAGACCAGATCAAAGGCCTATAGTGGTTCATTGCAGTGCAGGAGTAGGCAGAAGTGGTACTTTCATAACTCTAGATAGGATTCTACAGCAAATTCAAGTATCAGATTATGTTGATATTTTTGGTATCGTCTGGACTATGAGAAAAGAACGTGTTTGGATGGTCCAAACTGAACAGCAGTATATTTGTATCCATCAATGTCTTTTAGCTGTGCTTGAAGGACAACAGGATACTACTGGACCTCCTAGAGAAATTCATGATAATCAAGGATTTGAAGGTAGATATTTGGATCCTCTTCTACAGTTTTTTAAGAATATTTTTAATAAATTTTCTTCTTTTTTTGATTGTTAAATTTTATTTAGACTTTTATTTTTCAATTTTGATTATTTGTACAAACATTGAGTATTGGTATTATTATTTTTATTTATTTGCTGTGTAATTATTTTTTTATTCTCATAAGCATGAGCTTCATTTTGATTTCTTTTTCGTTGAAAAATACTAGGTGACTTTTGAAAAATTTATTACATGTCTCATGATCTTGGATCATACAATTTTATGTGGATAATAAGTTGTTATTGATATTTATTACTGAACACAGACATTTGGAGTCCACCCAGTAATTGTTGTTGGTCACTTTTAGAGGAGAGTCACTAATATTGTGAAATCGGGACTTTTCAGTATGGCCAAAAATCTAAAGAAGCATTCTCAAAGTTATTAAAAATCAATTACCTTATGGAGAGGGTGAGACTAACTTTAAAAGAAAAAAAAAAAACAAACCAAAATCAATTATTGAGACTGTATGTTGTATTTTTCATGGTTTGGTTGCAAGATAACGATCAAAATTGCACAGTTTATTTTCTATCTTTATAATTTTTTACCAGCAAAACAATGAAAGATAGAGGATCAAGTTTTAGGATTTTTTTTGTGTAAAATTGAAAGATCTATAATTTTCATTTGAAATTTTTTGACACTAATGGAAAAAAATGGTAACGAAACCAGTTTTTTCTAATTATTGCTTAAACTATAGATGATACAGAAAAAATCTATGAATAAAAGTTGTAGATCTGTTGATTTTACACAAAGAAATCAACACTCTTCAACCCCTATTCCTGATTGTTTAGCTCCAAAATGGCGACAAAGTTGAGGATGATCGATTTTCAACCATTTTTTATCTTTATCATTGACTTGTAGCTAAACTACAAAAGAGAATGAAAACTAATAACCTTTTTTTCTGTAATTCATATGGTTTTAGAACATTTCTTGAAATTTTGAACTATGCTGAAAAATTCCGATTTCTACACTTGGCTGGTTAGTCAAATAATAACTTTACATTTATTAAAAAATATTCATAGACTCCTATGTATAATTATTCCTATTATATTATAAATAAGAAATTAATGTATGTTAATGTATAAGATCAAGTGTGGTGATGGTGATAACGAATAAGTCAATTCCCAGCTTTTTATTCAAAATTAATAATTTATTTATTTCAATATTGATTAGAATTTTTTGTAAATATCTGTCTATGGAATAATTGTCGGTTATTGTGGCTTAAATAGTAAGATAAATATCTGTTTCCTTGTTCGAAATGTCCTTGGAATTTAGGAAAAAATCAAAGCTCGCCTGAGAACTCAATCAATCAAGACGAGGAGGAAAGGTGATGGCCTTCAGAGCCTGGGTCGAATGAAAATGTGGGTAATTTGGGATTTCTATTTATGATCTTGGTATTAACAACATTCTCTTTTCCTTTCCCTTTTGCATGTTTGTATTAATTCATTTCAAGTTTAATTAACATAAATTCACTTCAGCTTGCTTATTTCACACAAAAATTACACTTTTAAAAATGTTTTGTGATTAACTTTTTTCTTTATCATTTTATTTTTTCTTATCTTTATCCGTAATTATTAATTTAATTGAGCAGAACTTTCATTATTTCCAGCTGTTTTTCCACTAATGTAGTGTAATATGATTGAATTTTATCACAATTTTTTTTGAGAATTTCAACATTAACAAAGAGTACAGCTAATATTATTCATATAAAATAAATTAATCCTTTTTACTAACAATATTTAATTGATAAATAATAATGTTATTTAAATCATTAAAAATGAAAAATTATTAAATATTTTTTTAAATTATTTTATTAATGATATGTATATATATATATATATATACATATATATTTTGATAAACAAATATACTGCATTGAATAATATTTATTTGTGTAGGGTCAACGCACTAGCAAATAATTGAGCAAGGGTATTTTTTTTTTTTCGTTAATCGTTAATATAAGCATTATCGTCATGGTTCCTACAAAACTTGAAAAAATCTGTAAAATCAATGAAAAAATTTAAAAATAATATGATGGTTTGACGGTAAATTTGTGCAATTTTTTGACCAATTTTCTCTGCAGTATATACAGTAAAAACTTGGTTTTTTTAAAAAAAGTTTTCTTCATGGAAAAATTAGAGAAAAAACTTAGTATGCGAAAAATGCATTTTATTTTTAATTTCTTACATATTGTTTAATTACTATACAATAGGCTTTATCTATATCTTAGCGAAACATAGAGTTCGATTCCAAAATTACATGCAATTGTATTTAAGAAAACTGTACTGGCACAGAAGTGCCTTTGAGTTTACATAAAATCATAAAAAACACCTTTCATTGTTGTTATTGATAAGTAAATAAGCTTGATTAACATAAGATAACAAATCTTATGTTGAGGCGAAGAATAATTCCGAACGCATATATGAACATCCGTACATATCCACAAACATACATCTACTCAAAAACTATTGTATTCGATTCTGGGAACCTTGAAATGTGGAGATTTGTCAAAATTTGGGATTCGCACAATCGGATCCATTACTATAATTACTGTACTTCCCACTGGGAAGTTAAAATTACAGAAAAATTCCGAGTTTTTAACGTAATTTAACAGAGAAAATACGGTCATATATCAGCTAAAAAATTCCGCAATAAAACTACATTTATACGGTAACTAACTTTAGGAGTGCATAAAATATAAACGATCTTTTGAACGACCTATCTTCAAAACTCTAAAAATAATTAATAAAATTTTGAAAGAAAATCGAATACACCAGTAAATGATTAACATGTTTAGTAAATCAATATATTACTAATATATTTTTGCGTTGATCCTATGAATTCATAAACCAGAAGTGAACCCAAAAAAATTATTTTACCCTGGAAGAAAGGGTAAGAAACTAAGAGAGAAAATTACTCTTAATTCGGCTTTTTTAGGATTTTCTTGAAAATTATGAAAGACATGAAAAAATGTTTGGTACAAAAATTAAAGGGCATTTAATTTTACATAAAAAAGATGACTACACTTTATCTCTTACTTTCGATGGTTTAGCAAGTAAATGAAGATAAAGACAGACAAGCGTTGAGACTGATGAAAAAAGATAATCGTAAATCTCGTTTATTATGATTATCTGAAAAATGATGAGAGATACAGAAAAAAGTTTTGAATAAAAGTTAAAGATCTTTTAATTTTGCATGAAAAATTCCCAAGATGTGGTCCTATATCCCTAATAGTTGGATGGTAATTTGATGGCAAAGATGAAAAAATGTCTTTGAGTTATCTACAAAAGAAAGAGGCCAAAGTGTTATAACCTTTTCTATTCAAAATTACGGGCCCTATATATATATATATATATATATATATATATCATTCAAAACTTTTTTTTATATCTTATGTAGTTTTCATGAAATTAAAATCAAAGTGATTTTTTTTATTAGTTTCTCTTCTTAAAGCTGGGCTTTACTTTGGTTTCCCTGAAGAAAATCCCAAGGAGTCGGGAAATAACTAATTTATTAGCCAATGTTCAATTATATCCATTGATTTCAGCATCAAAATAAAGCCTATTTCACGTAGAATACCGCAATTCAACATTTTATTCTATTAATTTATATTTTAATATAATTTAATTAGAAAGAAAATTGTCATTGAATTATTACTAGATTTTTCATGCTTCATCGCCGTCAAAAGAAAATAATTAATTTTTTTCTGATTTCTACAATTTTTTCGCTGAAAGAAGTTATCTGCCGACATCCTTGCCACTTTCTATATTATAAATGAAACCATTTTACATAATAAAACGCAGTAATTAGGATGTATTTTGTCATATCATCTTTCAGGTGTTTTTTACTACTGCTAATAGGAAAAAGATTTTAAGTAAAGCCTAGCCTTGAATGGGGCGGGAGTATCCCTTTTAGCAGTAAAAATAATTTCGAACAACTTTAAGGCTGGACTGCAGCCAGATTTCTCCGAGAAAATATTTAGCAAAAGTTCTTGACAGACTACGTCATCAAAAATAAATGTTTTTTCTCGATTCAAGTATTAATTGAAAGTCAAATTTATATTCGAAAGTGTCAGACGCCAATCTTGTTGACATATCAATATAAAAAAAAAGAAGTAAAAAATTTATATAATTAGTCTATATTAATTAAGAAATAAAAACATGCACCCATAGAATTCTGAAGTGTCATGACGGATGTACTTGTCATCAACTGGCCAATGGAAAATGAATTAGTTGGTAATAACTACTGCATTATAAATTATTGTTTGCCACTCTGCATGCCATTTTTTTATATATGAATAAACAACTTTTACGTGATAAGAACGAACAAATAGCCAAGAATAATTCGAGGTGATGTAAGATTACTATAGTCCAGCCTTAAGGGTATTTCTCAAGAATTTAAGTGATGCTGAAAAGTCCTTATTATTCAAGGGCTAACATAACTAGACCATTCAAAGTCAACCGTGATAAAACTTTGTGTTTATTAATTCTTATATCACAAGATGTTACAATTTATCTCAGTAGAAAAATTAAAAAAAATAAATAAAAAATGAATTAATTTATTTCAGATGACGAAGGAATAGCAGAATCAGGAATGTAAATTAACGGCAAGATATGAGCTTAGAATATGATAAATAGCAAAGATAAAATGCATAAAGCGTATCTATTCATTATTTGAATTAATCGTTGAACTTTACGTTAAACAGATATGTCTGAGATTGTGTAGTATTCGATCAACTCAAATCTCCGTCCAAAGAGCGTAAAAATTGACAAAAAAGCGATGGATTTGATGAGTACTTAATAAAAACTGCATTTTTTTATAATTTAATTATTGTTTTACAATGGTTGGATTTATAAAATCGTCACATGTTAAAGGTTGACATGGCTCGATGATATTTTGTAATAGAAATTTATTTATGATAATCAGAGCCTACCGAAAATGACAATTAGTTGAATAATTATTACTTTTAGTTAAATGAAATTTGTTAATTAATTATTAATAAAGAAAAGGAAATGAATTTGTACATATCAACAATCACATTAACTATTGTTATGGAAAATTAGTGTTGTAAAAGAAACAATCGATTTAGTAAGATAACTATTGTGTCTCTTGAACAATCGATATTGATTAATGGATTTAAGAGCATTCGATTAATCGAATTAAAATCGATTACTTTGATAAAAAAATTTTTCAACAAATCTCTCATAATTGTAATTTTTTTCAAATACTTGGTTAAAAAATCGATTCATTGACTCTTTCAGTACATCGATTATTACGAGTTCATTATTTACATCATAAAATTTCTACGAATTTATATTCGCTCAATAGGTAATCGATTATAATAATTCAATTTCGATAACATTAATAAAAATAACAATTAAGAATCTCAAATAAAAACAAAGAGACGTTGCAATCACAATACTCTTGTTATAAATGCGATAATTTTTTATTCATTATTAAGTAGTGGGAGAAATTGTTTATGTATTCAGTATGATAATAGAATGGTATTATGGAAAGTATTCAAAGTATACATATATTCCATTGAGATTGTGCCAATTTTGAATAATATTCGGCAAAAGATTGGTTATCGGTTACGTATTATTATACTATTAGTTATTTTATATTAATAGAATTTATTTTAATTATCTGACGTTCAATCAAAGTATTTAACATAAAACTTCATTGCGACATTTATTATGATTAAGGTAGTGTTGCCGAAGATGGCCGGGTTTCTAGGATAGCCCACTTTTAAAAAAAATACAATTATGATTATTCGAAACATTCGAAATTTCGCGGGTTTATGCTACTTGTCTCATAGACAAATGTTTCGAATAATCATAACTGTATTTTTTTAAAAGTGGGCTATCCTAGGAGCCGGACTATCTTCGGTGACACTACCTTATAAATTATCAATTTTTTTCAAATGTTGTTAGCAAAGTATTTGTTTAAGATATTTTATCACTTCGATTGTAAGTTGATATATTTGATTAAAATTTCACTAAAACGATTGTTTCAAGGACAAAAATGGAGTAAATTTTTTTATTACTAATTGTAATTTAGTTATTTTATTGATAAATGTTCTTTTGAGATATCTTAAGAATTATTAATAGAGTCATTAAAGTTGATAAATCGAGATTTTTCAGCATCGTTAAAAGTTTCTAGCAAAATTTATGAGTTGGTAAAAACAATCGGTAATATTTTGCAACAACTCGTATACTATAGAAGATACAGAAAAAAGCTTAAATTAAAAATTTCAGATTTGTTGATTCTACACAATTAAGGTCATTACTATTCAATCTCTATCTTTAGTAGTCTAGCTGCAAAATGACGATAAAGTTGAAGATTATCAATTTCAACATTTTTTTATCTTTATCCTTGATTTTCAGCTAATTTATAGAATATAAGAAATAAAGACTAATAACCTTTTTTGTGAAACGTTAAAAGATCTTCAACTTTTATTTATAGCTTTTTTATAGCTTTCGCGATGATCATGAGAAATTAAATTACAGTCATTTTTTTGTTAGTTTTATCCTTTGACCAGAATGAAAGCATGATTTTAAATATTTCCAATTATTTTGATTAATGTCAAAAACATTTCTTTAAAATTTTAGCTATGTTGAAAAATTCTACTTGACCAGGCAATAAAACAACAATGCAATCAAAAATCTCTTATTGGAGTAGGTGCAAACGAAGTTTTAATTCAAACAAATACTTTACTGTTATTCGATCGCAAATATTATATTTTTTATTTGACAGTTGCAATTTTATTTATTTATTTATTTACAACTTGTTGTTAGTAAATAAGTAAATAAACACATAGAATCTAAATTTAGAATCTCTTTATTTTCCTTTATTTGTGATTGTTCAAGAACAAATATTTCTAATTAATAATTATACAATAAACTACAATTTATTAATTACTATTAGTATAAAGCAATTGTAGATTATACACAACAATTAAGTTTGTAAACCTGTGATAAATTGATCATTTTTTCCTTTTACTCTATCATTATATGAATGTTTAATTAAACATTGCGATCCATTACGCTTCATTATTATTATCATTGACTATGAAGGACGTAGAGAGTTATTTGAAAAAGGAACAAAAAACTCATTAATTATTGAATGTCACAAATTTATTACATAAACCACTAATAGATGTAGTTATTAATTTACTTACGTTTAAATAAGTGAAAACTCCAAACAACCAACATTCTATATTATGCAAACATCTTTATTATTATGGCATAAATTACATAATTTTGGTTTTATCATTTTATTTCAATACTGTAAAATAATTTAATAATATTTTAACAATAAAACAATTTATTTCTTTTTAATTTTAACATAATGGAACAGAAATCAACAATAATGTATATTATAAAATAAACATTTTTATTTTAAAATTGACAATTCTTTTTACCTTACAACATGCAGGAATGGAGAGATTTAATATGTAATAGAGGTGATTCTGTTGAACAAGAATGTAGGAAAGTCCTCATTATATAGATGGTTTGAGGCTACAGTAAATAACTATTTAAAAAAGAATACTTGGACTCTAGGTAAGGGCAAATTTCTCCGTTGAATCTTTTGTTTCAATTATCTACAATACGATGCGAGGTACGGGAAAGAGTTTTGGTCATTTTATACTTACGCGGTCCCCTCGTTTTTTGGCTCTAGAAAATCGAAAAATCATCCGATTTCAATGATTTTTTTTTAAATCTTTGTTTTTACGGCGGATTTATAAAAAATAAATATGGGAAATATATCACTTGAAGATTTTTTATTATTACAATTTTTAAAACAAATAAAACTACCCATTTTAGTATTTTTATTTATTTTCAATTGTTCACATGAAATTAGAGAGAATTGTGATGGTTAAAAATTCATAACAAATGTTCACATTTGGTCTGCAAAATGTTGATTTTTCGATTTTCGAGAGCCAAAAAACGAGGGGTCTGCGATAGGATAAAAATTACCAAAGTTTTGAATAAAAGCAAAAAAATATTAATTTTCACGATACTCTTAAAAAAAGCATTGTTTCTTCCCAGGGATGTAATCAATTATTTTCCAACTTTATTGTTTTAGCGCTGTTTTGCAAATAAATCATGAGAGATATCGAATAAAGACTATGAGCTTTTTTCGTGTAATATTCAGAAATATTATACTTCTATTTGAAACTTGTTTCTATATTTTTAATAGTTTTCGAAATAATTTCGAAAATGTGGACTTAAGAAATATTTTTTCACTAAGCGCTGTAGGAGCTCAAAGTGAAGCCATTGCAGTGCAAGATTTCTCTAAATATTTAAAGAATACCCCAAAATTTTTCCCTCATATTTTTTGTAATCCGGTCATGAAAGCTCACTTCTCCTCCCAAACCCGAGTGAAATTTATTTTAGGCATGCCTAAAGACCTATTGAGCCCTTATTAAAAATTAAATGAATTATTGAAAATGAGGCATTCCCAATCTATGCCCGATAAATTTGTTTTTAGGATGAAATAAGATTTTTTTAATTTCGCACTACCCAACTATCCAATTACAACCGTATAAATGTTAATCCGGTCTTTAATAAATAAATTTGTTACGATATAAAAGATTTACATGAGACTAGTAAATTCCCGTAACTTTGTCTGCAAATAAACCAATTCCAGAAATCAATTACTGCGTGATACGATTAATAAAAAAAATATATACGTAAGAAATGAATATGAAAGGCAATAATTTGAATTCTATCGTAAGACTCAATTTCTGCTCTTTTACAACAAACTTAATTATTATAGACAAAAGGAGTAGGCTTCAATACATTTTACGTTGTTTGTAATTTTATTCTAATAAGAGAAAAAATTCCTCTCAGGAAAAGTTCGAATATATAAAATAGATCTTGTTTTCCAGTGTTTATAACAAATTCTATTGCTAAAAACAATTTACATAAACAAGACGTAGCCTATAACGTTCGTCACAATGCCCTCTACATGTTTGCAAAATTTGGTTGCAATTGGATGAGCCGTTTCGAAGATTAACCCAAACAGACAGACAAACACCAGAAGTTTATATAGTAGTATCGATAGATTAAGTATTTTCTTTAAATTCTAATAACAAAGTCTTTTAATAATAAACATATTTTCAAATAACTTTTTTTCTTGAAATAATAGTTAATAATTTTTATAGAACCTTAATTGGATGATACACGGAGAAAAATCAGTCAGTAAGTTAGACTGCAGAAAATCAGATATTGTTTTTTACTTATTTTTACTATTTTTGTTATCCTATGAAACTTCCAATGTCAAAAATTATGACTGTTACTCTGTCAGTAATCGATGGAAATAAATTTACAGACCAAAGAAGTAATTCTTATTACTAAAGAAACTAATATTTAGAATAATTAAAAGTAATTTTTGTTAATATTATTCAACCAACTCAAATAGTAAGTTTTACTGATTAAATATATATATTTTATACTTCTAACGAACAATACGAAGCTCCCTTCCATGTTCTATGTAGCAGAGTTACTAGAATTCTCTAGTAACTTTTACTGCTTTAATCGACAAATTGACTGCTCAAGTAAACTCATATGTACATAAAAGATTGAATCATATTCAATTATGTTGGATAGCCGAGCAGGCTAAAGCATCGGTTTAATTGCATGCGTTAGGCAATTGTAGGTTCGAATCGCCCTCCATAGAATATTCTTTACCAAGTCCAAATCAACGTTTCCCGCAATCTTTAAACTATGTAAACGTAAAATGGGTGTTTAACATATATAAAATCTAATGAAATAATTATTTAAATTATTTTTATTCATTAGTTTTAGCCATTACTGTTTTTGTCATTTGCCCATCGGAAGACGCACTAAACCGCATTCGTCTTATTTACAAACTTGAATTCATTTATATAATCAGTAATAGATGAAGATAAGTAGATTCTGATTGTATACTTAAAAAATAAATGTTATCGACATCAGTAGTAATATTGACTGCATTTTTGTGTGAAAATTACGGATTTGAATAAAATTGACTGACCATTTTTCTCCGTGTACTGACTGGAAATATATTGTAGTTCTATAAAAAATACTTAATTGAAAGGTATGAAAATATTTAAACCGGCAATATTATTTATTCATGAGATTTAAGGTAAATCATGATCAATATAAACCTTTTAAAAATTATACATACGGATTCGTTCATATTAATATAAGAGTAATAATTTTTTAATTGAATGAATAGCCGAGCGGGTAAAGGCTCTGGTCTCAGATGCGAGTAAACTAGCGATCGTAGGTTCAAATATCCTAAGAAACAAATTTCAGCATATGTATTTTCGCGGAAATTTTATGTAAGTACGTTTAGTAATTAAGTATTTCAACAATATACAATTATAAAAAATGAGATAATCTAACAACTTCATTTTTATATTCAACTTGCCTGAATTGGCTTTCCTCACTTGGTCGAAATTCGAATGGGGTGCTAACTCTTTTCTAAAAAGAAATTCTACTCGGAAAGTATGTAACATTCCACACTAATATCATAAAAACCACCTTTAATAAATTCATTGATGAAATACTTTTTTTAGTGACTGGGTTTACATTAACGTTAATGGACTATCAATTGAAAATATGTCATTAATAACAATCAATAACTAGTAATAATTGGTAATATTCGACGATGTTGACTTAAACATTTACAATTATATTATTATTTTTTGTACAGAACTCTTGCATGTTTTGTATTAAGTAATTCAGGTGCATAATCTTTCCAATACGAAAAATCAATAGATGGCAGTTCATCACAACTCACAAGTGGATTTTTATCTGATAGACGTTCAAATGCCCGTCGTTGTATTGAGATTATACCATCACTGTTATCACACATGAACCGGGCAAGCGTTGTTTTGCGAATTTCCGATAATTGTTCTAGAAATAATTGTCCTCATTAATTTTAATTATTATTACATTTCCTAAAGCATTCAATTTTAATCATCGCTGTGTTGTATTTTACTGCACTAGTACAGATAGAATTCTGTTATGAAATTGTGTTTTACTGTCTCGAGGTAAAAGAATCCTTTACTGTACTAGTGCCGAAAATACCTTCAGATTTAATTATTCTTGCATGTTTATTGCAAAATAATTGCTTATTACGAGCGTTTTATAAGACCAATCTGGTAATCATGACTTTACCACATCCGTTTTTAAATTAAACTGACAGTTCTAACTCACCTTTTGTAAATGCGATAACCGGATCTGAAGACTCAAACCAATATCGATCACCGACTCTGGTCCGATAGAACTGCTCAATTATAACACATAAAAATGTAGGACCGGTAAGAGCATCCTCAGAATTTTCTTCAAGACTGCCTCCAACAACGAAATCAACATCATCAGGACTTTCATAGAGTTGTATAAGCTTTTGAATATTTTTAGGAGAAATCCAATCAGCAAAATCAGACCAAGTTTGTGCTCGTTTTAAACCACAAAATGATCTATAATCATTGTATGTAGGTAAACCATGATCACGACCTCTATGAATGTCCAGTGCTTTTAGATCTGAACCTAATTTTGACAGTCCTCGGAAAAGATATAAAGTTATCTAATAAAAAACAAATTATTGTATTTTAGATGAAGTTAGATGATGGTCAACAAAAGAATATCTTCTTTATAATACCCTTACGGAAAGTTCACTTTTTTCTTAGGAGTAATGTGAAATTTTTTGCATCGATATAATCAAAAATAGTAATTGACTCGAGGTGTGACTATTAATCACCCTCCTGTATTTTATACTGGTTTACTTGCTCGTACTAGGTAAGAAATGATCTATTGTACTTACTTCATGATCGTAGTACTCATTACGTGCTTGCTCTGGTTGATCAGCTAATCCCCTAGTTAAATCATCCATGTTATTTGCTTGCTCAATAATTCCTGGTTTTTGAAACCAATCACTGAGTCTTAGAGATTTTTGTGACGATCGATCTTCAGCAATGAGTCTAAAAATATTATCAGTATTAGTAATATCGTCTTGTTGATTGAACTAAAATCACACACACACACACACAGTATACTTTTTTGTTCAGCATTGACAAGACAATAATAGGTGTAATTATTTAGGACACTCGATACAATGCTTTACAAATAGAACCGCTTAAAATACTAAAAGTGTGTGACAAAAAAATCGAGTCAGTACAAAAAAAAGCTGTTATTTTGCACTGTTATAGAAAACTCATTTATTTTTTAATATACGATGAGCTAATCTTAACTCATATTTTTTCTTCTACAGACAAAACAGCGTTTGTTTCTGCTAGCACATAAACAATTACTTGGCAATCAAAAAATAAATAATATTAAATAATAAAAAATGAATAATATATACGTAAGAAATGAATATGAAAGGCAATAATTTGAATTCTATCGTAAGACTCAATTTCTGCTCTTTTACAACAAACTTAATTGTTATAGACAAAAGGAGTAGGCTTCAATACATTTTACGTTGTTTGTAATTTTATTCTAATAAGAGAAAAAATTCCTCTCAGGAAAAGTTCGAATATATAAAATAGATCTTGTTTTCCAGTGTTTATAACAAATTCTATTGCTAAAAACAATTTACATAAACAAGACGTAGCCTATAACGTTCGTCACAATGCCCTCTACATGTTTGCAAAATTTGGTTGCAATTGGATGAGCCGTTTCGGAGATTAACCCAAACAGACAGACAAACACCAGAAGTTTATATAGTAGTAATAGATTATTGAGCTTCTCACTTGAGATATCCGGCAATAAGAGAATGGAAAACACGAAAAGCTCCATTAGAATGTTCGTTCAACACGCTTGGGTTGACATTTACGTCATAATCATCGATATATTCATTCTCACCAATTTCATAAATTAGCTTGTGATTATACGCATTTTCTGGCCCTGTAAACAAAAAAGACGAAATTAAAAAATGGACAAAGACAATAATAATTCTAGAAATTTAATGACCCAGAAAATGTGTTATTTCAATAACATTATATTATGTCATGTTCGATAGTAAAATCAGAGAATATCCGCTTGATTGGATACCAAAGGCATACTTTATTTCTTTACACGCTTACTGAAGCCTGGAATAGTGACGACTGTCATTGTCTACTTAAGCATTTACAATAAATGTCAGTAACATGTGTGAAGTATCCTAGTGCAGATAATGTTGGAATAAAACTACTGTTACTTACTGTTTCATTTTTTTGTGATTTTTTCTCAAAAACTATGGGAGAGCAAAAAAATTTTATTCAAAAATCAAAGGTCTTTTAATTTTACGTAAAAAAAGGTTCCTAGAGTTTATTTTCTATTTTTTATAGTTTAGCTGTGAAATGACGATAAAGATAGAATGTGGAATTTCAGTATTTTTGAAGCCTTTTTTTTTATATTTATTGGCATTTTGCAGCTAAATTACGGAAGATAAAAAAACTTTTTAAATAAATTTTATTCAAAAAGTTTTAAGAAACGCAATTTTCTATAAAATAGATCGTTGCACTTAAGGCTCTATTTTTTATATTTTAGCCAAAAAACGTTGTCGAAGTTTGAAAAATTATATTTACTACAACTTTTTTTCATATCTATCACAATTTTTGAGAAAATCATGGATAAGTATATTTGAAATTGATTTTTTCAGTTTTCTACTTAAGTGTGGAAACTCCTTTTTTAAATTGTTCATTTCTATCAAATCGTTTTTGGGGGTTCATTTTTCAATTCAATTTACCAACTATGATAGGCATCCACTCATAATAGGAAATTTGTTGATATTCTGCGATAACAATTCTTCTAGACTCTTGGAAAATTGTTTCATCATTCCAATGGGAATTGATCTTTTTTAAAATTCTTGCAATTCGATTATGCTCTCTTATGAGTAGAATTTGGAGAACTGTCAGCTGGGGATTTTGATTAACTCTGGTATCACCTATAAAACGAATTGCTATCAGAAAAAATTGCAGTAAAATATGTTAACTACACAACCATGGGTGTAAAAAGGTCTTATTATGAGGGTCAAGAACTTGAGGAGATATTTCTAATATTTATAATTTTGTTGTAAATAATCATTCGTCAATTTTTTACCTGCCGTATAACAGATATTATTAAAACTATCAGCATTACAATCAGCCGAAACATTTGCATATGGTACTGATGGCAACCATTCTCGTTGATTTCGGATTATAGTCTTCATTAAGCCTTTTTTAAACCTTCGTAAATTATTTGCTGTTTTTTCAGAAGATCCATAGACAATAGAAAGATCCATATAATGTGTTACCATTGTAATCTAATCAGATGTTAATAGTCAATAATTTACTGTAACTACAAATAAAATAAATATAAATATTCTTACTTGATCTGCAGGCTTTTGAGGTTGAAAAAAAGAACAGTTCTTCATTGATTGAAGATCAGTAGCCGTTCGTGAAAATATACCAAAGCACTGCGTTTTTCGATAATTAAATACTGGATCATCAGGTCCAATAAGCATTGGGAAACAATCCGGATTGTTGATATTTTCTAGATGCACTTGGTCGTTATTGTCGCAACAGGGAGGAGATGGTAAATCTTAAAGAAAGAAAAGAAATTGTAGTTTTTTTGGTTAATATTTTATCTGTTGAGTCTTCACAAGACTACGCATTTATGTCACGATTGTATATTAAATTTAACTGCATTAGTGCAGAAAATGATCGATAATGAATTTGCTACATATTGCTTAATGTAATTGCTTATTTTATATATATATATATATATCTATTGGTGCATTTGAGGACCTCAGCCAGTAGATGCTCTTGGCCAATGCCGGCTAAATAATAATAGATGTAAACGCTAGACCGTACAGAAAAGTTTACTATTCTTCACAAGTGTTAATAACTGAAGGAATTTCAATTAAAACTAAAAACATTTCCATTTACCCAGCATTTGTGCAGTTGCCAACTGAGCCATATCATGGGTGATTATTTGACCCCATTGCATCGTTGCTAATGACCATTGAGGATCTGATACTGTTAATTGCGGGAATAATGTGTAACTCAAAACTCTTGATCTTGGAAGTGTCTTTCCGGTCGTCGATATTGCAGGTTCCCAAATACCTAAAGAATGCAAAAATATAAGTGGTTAATAATCTTACGTGAAAATTAATTCCAAATATAATGCAGTAATATTAGTTTTTTTTAATGGCATCTTTGCTCTTCAATAGTGCAATTGATCAGAATATTTTTATTTTACGTGAAGCATAAATTGCTAACTTCAAGTGAAATAGACAGTAGGGGAAAAATGCAAATATTATTTTACGGTTCAACGATGAAGAACAGAGGTAAAAGTGCTATGGCTTCTTTAATGTAAAATGGAACAGAGCTACAAGTTTCATTCTAAACGTTTTTTTGAATTTTTTGTAGTTCTCAAAAAAATGATCTGAAAAGTGAATTTATAGCACTTGCTAATGAAAATTACACTTTTCTGCACTCTAAAATATCAATAACTCGCTTAATATTTTTTAATAAATTAACATAAAAATTATTGTGCTATAGCTCTTCCTGAATCAAAAACGTATTTTATGAATAATGTCATTATAATTGCAAAACTAACTATTTATAACAAACAATATTTATAAAAAAATTTAATATAAAAAAGAATTGTTTTTCAATTAATTCAATCGATAACCCACTTAGCCACCCACTCACTGTTACCAATTTGAAAAACTGCGGTTATTAGATCATAATCAAACAATACACACAAGTGCATGACTAACAAGCTTATTATCAATTAAGATCGCGTGATAATTGTGTAAATATTCATGCTGTAGTTGAAAATTAATTTATATTTTCCAATATAAAATTACTTAATTATAACTAAAGTCCTTTCAATACAAATTTGATAATATATGAATAACTTTTGTTAGAAATAGTGTTGTGTAAATCAGTTCAAAATCATCGAATGAATACCATCGCATCAAAGATCAGTCGAAAGTAAATATTGAATATCTTAAAAAGCCAAAAGAGTCGAAAATTTTAGTTATTTACAACGCGAGTCACAAAATCACTGGCTTGATAATCGGCTATATAATAGTCGATAGCACAGTTATCAATTAATTAACAATCGATCATCAAGCCGTAAAAAACATCATTTTTTTCAATTGATTTTGATTTGATTAATTAAATAATTTAGATCGATAAATACTATTTGTAAAATATGAATAATACAGAAGTATCTGAACTCAACAAAAAAAAATAAATATACTTACTATCGGAATAAATTGGTGGTAAAAGTCGTGCATAACGAGTTTGAGCCATTCCCCAAGTTGGATTTAATAGATTATTACATGATCCATCGTAAGTACGATACGATAGGTCTCGTGAACATGTTAATGTAAAATTAATATCACATTCGTTGAATAGTGGGTAAGAGTTTTTATTTCCATTTCTACTGAATGAATTCCATATCTCCGGCTGACCGCTGAATACATTAATGTTGAGCGGAGTCAATTGAACAGGTGGTTGATGAATAAATTGTACATTATTGTTTATAATTGGACGTGGACTGAAATAATTCTTTATCGTTGTTATAAAATTAGCATTACTCCAGATTGGTTTTGCGAATAAATGATTGTATTCTGAAAATATAAAAATATGACGCGAAAGCGATAAATGGTTTGCTCATATGAATTATATGGTACCTACTAAGAAGTATGCTTTAAATCAGACAGCGGTCTGCTATTTTACATTAGTATGTACTTTTGAGGGCAGACTGGGAATCGATAGAATGGTTTTGTATATTACTGAAACTCTTTTCAACTTTATGATCATTTTACAGCTGAACTATAAGCGATAGAAGATAAATTCTTCAGACCCTCTATGTAAAGTTCTAAAATTTTCAACTTTCATTTAACATTTGTTTAGATTTTTTTTAATTTAACCATAGAATAGCGACAAAGTTAAAGAAATGTAAAAAATTAATTATAAATTCAACCCGCACCTTTATTATCATTTTTCAGCTAAACTGTAAAAAAAAAAAGAAAAAAAAATTCTAGCATTTTTTTATAGAAAATTAAATGATCTGAAATTTTTATCGAAAACTATTCATTTTATTTTCTATACATGAGTCGCCAAACAACAATGAAACCGAAAAATTTACATTAAACAAATTATTAATGTTTTTTCAAATTTATTGTCATTTTGTAGGTAAACTATCAGAGATACCAGATAAAGTATAAAAACTTTTTCTGTAGAATATTATATGACCTGCAACTTGTATTTTAAATTCTTTTTTTTCTGTATTTTCCATAGATTATGAGATAATTACCCCAAACTAAGTTTAAATTGTCATTGTTGCTCGTGAGTACTTACAGTATTCTATTTCTTTTTTCCTTCATAACGAATGTCAATATATATATAGACCTCAAGAACAGAATCCGGTATAGTCTATCATTGTCTTACCTAGACTAAGGTGAATAAATGGGAAACTGTTTTCGCTCCGTTCACTTATACATATATCGTAATAAAAGTCGTACTCACAGTCTCAATATCCTAGGGATTCTACTGTAATTATTTTTTTTTAATTTCTCCATATATCATCATAAATTAATGAATTAATAACAATCGATAACAATCATTTTAATTTTACCAAAGCGAATTTAGAGAGTAGTTATAAAAATGAATTTTAATGCCTCAGTAGACTTTCCCCATTATCAATCACAATTCACAAATTCACTTAAGTAATGTTGTCAAATAACCGCCTAGAGCATCTGATGATTAAGTGGAATTGCTTATTAATATTATAGAGTAATCTGCATTATAAGTTAATTAATGAATCTTATTTTAAATCTTGAAAGCCGGAAACAAAGAAAAAAATGAGTATAATGTTTTTTTTCAACTTTTATTTTTTGAATCTTTGGTAATTTATTACTTTTTTTCATCATACAACAAGAAAGTTATTTCTTTTTTATTATTTTGCCGTGAATGTTAACTAATCAATAACCTTAAACTTTCACAGATTATGAAAAAATTGTTTCAATTATTTAAATTACAATTAAAGTCATTTTTGAATTGCTTGATTAATTGTGTAGTGGATGATTTATTCACTAATCTTGGTGATATTATTCGTCGTTTATTTATCAGAGAATTTTATGTTGTCCGTTTTATTTTCTCGAATAATTTCTTTGAAAATATGGAAAATAAATCTAAGAACTCGAGAGCCATGAAAAAAAATAATCAAGAAATCACCTCAAGTCTAGTTTTTAGCGATTATCTCATCAGTTATTGAAAGTATGACGAAAAGCTTAAGTTAAAAGTTAGCGGTTTTTTAATTTTACATAAGAAAGTCAAAATGACCTTTCTTTCTGTCTTTCATAGTTTCCTACGAAAATGACGATAAAGACAAAAAGTGGGTTTTTATCAATATTTCTTCAACTTTATTAACTTCCCATTAGGAAGTTATTGAAATTGGGTCGATTGGTGAAATTTGAATTTTCGTCATATCTCCACGCTTCAAGATATTTGCAAGCATACTGACATATTTTTATAATGATGTATGTATGTATGTATGTATGTACGGACGTCAGCATTTTTTTCGTTTTCGATATCTCAAAAACGGATTAAGATAGCGACTTCAACTACAATTAATTCGAAAAATCTCATCATGAAGGAGATCTGAGTGAAATTTGAACAAATTCGGTCGATGCGTTCTTTTTTTATAACAAAATAACTAATAAAAAAATGAAAAGATTAGCTATTTAATACGAATTTGTTATAAATAATTACTAATGGGAAATTCATCATGTTAGCACAAAGTGTGCTCAGACCTACTTTTACTATATTAAAACGAGACTAGAAGATACGAGAAAAAGTTGTAAAAACTACAGTTTTACATGGAAGTGGTCATTGCAGTTTAACTTTTATCTTCAATAGTTCAGTTTTAAAATAATAATGAATGCATTAGAATACTGGAAATTTAATTTTTGATATTCTTTCATTTTTATCGTTATTTTATAGGTAAACTATACAAAACATAAAAAAACAATTGGAAACAAAAATTAAAAGTTTTTGAATAAAAAAGATTTCTAAGCTTTCTCTATTATCTCTCAAAGATTGATTGCAAAATAACAATAAAGATACAAATTTTTCAATTTTTGTTGAGGACATTTTTTCGTATTTTTTGTAGTTTTCAAAATAATCACTAAAAACTGTACTAGGTGTATCGTTTTCACTCTATCATTCATTATTTTAGCAGCCGCGGGCATGTTCTCTGCAGCCTTTCTAGCGATAGACGAGCATTCCATTACTCTACAAATCTGTTTTTTGTTAACGGACTCACTTACGTCTTCCCTAAAAATACAAACGAAGGTGGAATAAAAAATCGGAGCCTGGCTCAAACAGTGTGATTGACTCTCATAAAGACCTTTAGTACATAAGGGTACAATCGTGTTTTCTTAATCTGAATTTTCTTTCAAAATTTGTAAATGTGAATGTTATTACCAATGTGAGTTTGTGGAACAGCATGCCCTTGACTTATTACAAGGAAAAGTAAGAGATCAATCGCCAGTCCATTTATCTAAAACAAAATTAACAACGACAATTGTAGTGCAGGTGAAAGGAAAACCCTGAATACCATAAGTAAATTTTTGATAAGCACTTGCGTATTTTAATAAATTAGCTATAAAAATGACACTATTATATAAAACTAAAGGAAGAAATAAATAAAAAAAAAAGAATCATGACTGATTATAAGTAAGGTAAATATTGCAACCTTTTCGAGCAATCAAGTGTAAATGACTTTCTTATCTCAAATACGCGGAATAATTCATGATAGCAAAGGAAAATCAACAATATTGCCCTGTTATCTCGTTAAAGACACCATTATCTATTATATTGTTTTTGTGATTAAAGTTCCAAAAATAAGCCTGAGATGAATTAGATTTGACTAAAATGGAAAATTGAGTATTGAATTGACTTAAAAAAATTAATATCTAATTTCTGCAAACGTACAGAGTTTAAATTTCTGTCCGATTAATATTTAATTTTTCGGCTTTACTTATTTGGAAAATTTATATTTTTAATCTGATGTGTTTTTGCGATTATCTTGAAAAATATTGAAAATATGGAAAAAGTTTGGAATAATAGATCATTAAATTTTCCATAAAGAAAGTTCTTAAAACTTGAAGCATATCTTTTATATTTTAGCTGAAAAACGGTGATACAAATAGTATAATAAAAAAGTCGCTTTTCAAGCACTCTTCAGTGTTTTTCGTGATTTTTTGCTAAACTAAAAAAGGTAGAGGATAAAATCTGATGACGTTTTTAAATTCAAAATTAAAATATTTCTAATTTTTATTTCATAAAATGTTCCCGTGCCTTCCATAGTTTAGCTGGAAAACGATGATATAGAGAAAAAATGCTAAAACTCAACTATTTTTACATTTATTGTCATTTTATAGCAAAACTATCGGTAGAGAGGATCAAGTATAAGGAATTTTTTGTAAAAAAAATAAAGATCTTTAACTCTTTCAGAAATCTTTTTTCATACATCCAGTAGTTTTTATAGATAATCGCAAAAAAGATAAAAAAGTAAACTGTTCTAAATAATTGAAAGAACACATCATTTAATTGCAAATTCTTATAACTCATCAAAATAGAAATGAAAAAAAAGAAAAACGCTAAAATAAACCACTACTTAAATCAATATTACTCTTGATTACCCTTTCAATAGCCTGATTTTTACTTAATTTTCAAAATCAACATACCATTTTAAATTCGATCCGTCAACTCTGTTTATTCACAACTAATTGTGTTCACAAATTACAATGCGCTAATAGAATATGCGGCACAACTGGGCGAATAACCGATTTGCGGTGTGCTTATAAATGACCGGAGAAAGTCCAAGTTTGTACTTGATTTAATTGCTCAGATAATTATTCCGAGTAGACCACCGCTATTACTATAATAATTCGAATATTCACACCATTTTTTTTAATTACAAACTTAAATTAGAAAATCAGTGTCTTTTTTTAAGTTTTCAAGAAATGTGAGAATTTAATACAACACAGAGAGCATCAATTGAATGCACGTAGATGAATATTATATAAAGTCTATCTAGAAACATGAATTAAAAGATGCGTCTGGGTGCGTATTGTGTCCTGACGACGAGTTTCCCGAATGTTGAAATTTGTAATTTTGTCATCTTTTGGTTTTCGTCTGTTTATAATAAATTTATACTGTTATAAACATACAATCATGTAATCACATAAATTTATCTATAGCGATATTTTATTGTTATCTATCGATTATATTCATAATAATGATAATTCAATGAATTAAAACCAATGTTAATTGTTTATAAATAACTGAAGTTTTCATAAATAACATGGTTTAGAATAATGTGAATTAATAATCATATTGCATTGATATCGACCTCGGTTGTCAACAATGATAATCTACTACTAAGTAGAATCTATATCAAATGTCTTCTTTACTCAACTTATTTTACACTCTCTCTGTCAGATGTAGAGAAATAACAAAATTATGAGTCTTACAAATTGAACCGATTGCAATAATTCCTTAACGGTAAAAAAGCATTTTTTAACCACGACAACTTTTTTAAAATTTACAGTATGCTCAGATTCGCTTTCTAAACATCTTTTCATTAGAATTAAAAAAAATATATTTATTTTTCAATTTCTTTAATTATTCTCAATGTTTTTTATTGTTAACTTTGTATCTTTATATTATTTGTGTATCACAGTCGTTTTCACGTGTATTGAAAATATCTAATTGCAATGCACAGAAATTTTTATACTTTCGTTTAAAGAATATTTAACATTTTTTTTTTATTTTCAAGTAATTTTTTCAAACAATCGTCAAGAATACAACCAACGGTAGAATTATTTTTTCTAAGAAAATCTTTATTTTTGTTAAAATAATGCTGCTTAAAAATTTTTAGTTTTCCGTTTTATTTTATTCGCTTTAAAGCGAATTGAAAATTAAAAATAGGTCTCAGCACATTTTGTCTATGCTAACACGACGGACTTCCCATTGATAATTGTTTATAATAAATTTAAATAGTCATAATCAATGATCGTTGAAAACATCCAAATTCATATGATACACAAATTACTTAATCAATAAATACAATTTTTAATTGTTTATAACAAATTCGCATTGTAATGAGCACAAATCTTGATGTTGAACAGCAATCTGGATTTCATCGTTGTTGTTGAGTGAAGGTGATGCATAAGGTTGATGAGCATGTAAATCATGATGTGATATAGACTTATCAAAAACAGCTCCTCCGTTGACAGCTAATGTTTCCTCTTCCGCAGCCATGGTATTAACCATGCAAAACGGTACACTTTTACTTTGACTTTTTTTGTATGTGTGGCTTCAGGCCCAAGCTTTTCAAAAACACAATATTCTGATGACTTAGTCGTTTGAGATTTCGTCGTTGACTGACAATATTTCCGCATGGTAAGTCGGTTTTATAGCTTCTACCGAGAATCGTTTTATAAACAATACCAATTATTTCACAGATTTCACATGCAAACGAATTGTTATTATTTCTCCACGAAAATTAACCAATTCTTCGTCTCGATGGACAATTTTTAATTGCATGCGATGTACTGCTTGCACGACGATTGGCAGATAAATGACGTTAGATGGCACTTCAATGATTTTATATCCTGGTGGAACTGATGGAAAGAATTCATGAATTGTATGTACTAATTTATCATTTATGTATGCTCCTGTTGTAATATTGCACTCGATTCTCAATACATTTATTTTCAAGATGGGAACTGGTGAGTCCGACGTCTGTGTTTATTTTGGCGAGATAAGTCTTGGACTAAAACCCAACAGACGACCGATAGAATCATCTGGCTTGAAATTTATTGTAGCGTTATCATTGTAAATCTCACTGTGCAATTCATTGTTGTTAGGTTTAATGGAAATTGACAATTTAGGATCAGTTTTCTTTGAATAATTTTCAATATCTTCAATTTCGTAGCTTTCTGTTTCTATTTCAATAATTTTATCTCGCTTATTTATATTATAATACAATTTATTATTTTCATCATCAATATTCGGGATAGAGTTGAATGTTAATAATTCAACAAGACCCAGTACATAATTTTTTGTCCTTGTTAATTCAATAGGTAGAAAATAATATGCCTCTAATATGGAGGACTGTCCAAACAGCATTATTGTGAACGAATCGTCCATGACTGAAGAAATTTTTATTCATCTTCACTTTTTATATAGCTATTGAGATTAAATTCCATACCAAGTCTCCAGATGTCTTTAACTTTTTCGCTGAAAAACTTTAAACATAAATGTCCACAATTTGTTGTTGAATAATCTTGTTGCTTTGTATGATTATATAATAAGCTACCAACATCGAGATATTTTTGAAGTTCAGGTGGAGGTTTTAAATTACCGAAACTATCAAAGTATGTTGCTTTATTTCCTCGTTTTTTATATGCCACCAAGTGAGTTCCAGGCCCATCTTTATCATCAAGGTTAATAATAGCTGACTGATTTTTCCATGGTTTAGATTTCGGTAAATCATTTCTCATGAAAACTCCACGAAAGTATGGAATTTTCATAATTTTTGCGTACCTCAAAATGTCGATGTTAGTTAATGCTCGATGTGGTAGCTCTATACGTTTTTTTCCGCCGGTTTCAAATATAGGCTATATCCTCGTTTTCGACGTTTAAAACGTAGACCTCTACCCAAGGCTATGGCTTCCATTTTTTGATTATGACGTTTTGCTTCACCCAATTGACGATGAGCAGCTTTAGCATCATTAACTGCCTTTGCAATACCTGAAGCTCCACCAGCTTAAGCACCAATTGCACTTAGACCGGCAAATATCGGTATAAGTGGTAAAATACCTCCAACCTTAGTCGGTACAGGTAATACACGAGGAACTCGGACATTCTTTTTCCCACCAATCGTTTTTACTGCTTTTCGTGCAGCTGATAATGCAGATTTCATGGGATCTGCACCAGAATTTATCATCAACTTGGCCGAATCCACAATCTGTCTTAAAGGTTTTTTCTTTAAACCTTTTCCAACTTTTTTCTTTCCCACTCTTTTCTTCAAACCCATTCCGAGTTTTGATTTAACTTTCATGATATTAGTAACTCCTAATGCAGCAGCTCTTTCACTTAAATTTGCGTCTTTAGCAAAAACTCTTTGCCAAGCTTTTTCAGCAAGCACTTTATCTGCTGCGTTTCTCGCTTCTACGTTTTCTCGATTTTTCGAATACGCAATATCGTGCTCTTTACACGCTGCGTCCAATGGATTTACACCATGATCACCACGTTCTAATCGTTTTTGTAATTTTGTTCCGGGTCCACAATACTGATATCCAGGAATATGTAACTCGAATGGCAATTTATTTATGATAGTGTTAACTAAACCGGCGCCACGTCTGTACTGTGTTATAACCCGAGCCATACTGAAATAATTTCTATAAAAGTAGCGCATTTATACTCTAGCTTTTCAGTTGACATCGAGATGAAGTTCGAGCAACAAAGAACTCAATTACCGGTGTTGAATTTCGACAACGTCGTGCCACAAACTGTAAAAATTCAACGTCATGGTAATTTATTACCGAGTAGCGTTCGCGGCGTGATATGTGGCCCCTCGAATTGCGGTAAAACAAATGCTCTCTTAGCTCTTGTTATACACCCAAATGGATTACGATTTGAAAATATATATTTATATTCCAAATCCATACATCAACCAAAATATAAATTTTTGGAAAAATCACTTGAACCTGTAAAAGGTATGGGTTATTTTCCTTTCAATGAACATGAAGAAGTTGTGAAACCAGAGCAAGCAAAACCAAATTCAATAATGATTTTTGATGACGTAGCGTGTGAGAAACAAGATAATATGCGTGCTTATTTTTGTATGGGACGACACAGAGATGTTGATAGCTTTTATCTCTGTCAAACTTATGCACGTATTCCCAAACATCTAGTGCGAGATAATACAAATTTTCTCGTGCTTTTCCGACAAGATGATATGAATTTAAAGCATATTTATGATGATCATGTAAACACTGATATGTCATTTTCTGATTTACGAGAACTTTGTTCCAAATGTTGGAATGATAAGTATGGATTCGTCGTTATCGACAAAGATAGAGAAATCGATTGTGGACGTTATAAAAAAGGATTCGATTGCTTCATTAATATATAAATTGTACAACAATAAGAGAAAAAGAACATTTGTGACGCAGTCATCAAAGTGGTAGTATGAAGATAAGAAAAATGCAAAAACAAGCTGATGTTCTGCATCAAATTGCAAAAGCGAGTGATGCAATACGACGTAAGCATGAAATTATAAAACACGAACGAGAAACAACTCAACGAGCTATGAACGAAATGTTTAAACCCGTGGTAGCTCCTCTGCAACAATTAGTGGATAAGACACCGATGAAAATGGAGAAATTTGATGTGAAAAAAGAAGAGCTAATCAAAAAAGTTCCCATAGAAGAAGCTATAAGCTTTCAAACAACACATGATAATACTGTTGATTATGATGTGGATAATAGTGCAATAACTGATGATGAATCTTTTACCACTGCTCCTCATCAAAGTACACCGATAAACGAGTTACCTGCAGTATCATATTTGAAGAAATTCGATTCAAAACATCAAGTAAAGGAATTGGATACAAAGTTTGGTGTCAGAAAATTAAAAAATAAACTGATGATTGGTAACTCTGAAGCGAGATTTGATGATAAATTTGTTTACATTGATAATAAAAAATATGAAAGTACTCCGGGTCTCTTAGAATTGCTTTTTATGGAATCGCCTGATCAACAAATAACAACAGAAAGTGACGAGAAAACTTATGGTCAAATTTTAAAAAGCACTTACGCCTATCATAAACATTATCACCCTGACAGAAGTCTCAGAGAGAATAAATATTCAAAGAAATATCAAAATATCATCAGCAAATATTTACCAAAAAGTGGTAAAGGATTGCCGAAATATATGATAAATCGACCACTGGACTATGTTTATTGGGATGATCCTAATGAACTTGTTGATCGATTGCGTCTACTTGTTTCATCACGTGCTGCCGGCAATTTTAGCCATAACAATGAAATAATGTCAATTATTGAGGAATTGCGTGAAGCTGGAATCATATATTAATTAGATGCTAAATATCATTACTCATTGATTAACTATCTCTTGAAGAGAGAGGATGAGTGTAGACATTTTTGGACGTCAGTTGGACAATGATTCACGTAAAAGTGCTGTCCGTGGTCCACCTGGTAATGGATTTAAATTAACAATTGATAAACAATATGATATGAATAATAAAAGATTGTGCAACCTTGCTGATCCAGTAGATCTGAATGATGCTGTATTATTGAAAGTTGTTGAATCTAGTATCAGTAATACGATAGCATCTTTAACACAAGAGATAAAAAATCTTCAAGCAAAAGTTGAAAATATCAGTGAGCAAGTAAAACAGCAATTGGAATCATCACAAACAGCACAACAAAATTTGAGGGCAGAATTGAATAAAATCAATGAATTTTATCACTTTGATCAATTGAATACGTTTAAAGAGGCAGATAATAGACATACTGATATTATCAAACAGCTGGAAGAGAACGTTAAGAAAAAATTAAAAGGAAAACCTAAAGCCCAATTACTATGAATAAAGAAAAAAGACAAATTGCAGAAGAGCTTCATAGACCGGTGAGAAGAAATTATCAACGACGACATGTGGATATACGTGGTCTTGATGAGACTTGGCAAGCGGATCTTGTTGATATGACTACATATAAATCCTACAATAAAGGATATCAAAATTTATTAACAGTTATTGATATTTTCTCTAAATATGCTTGGGCTATACCAATTAAGACTAAAAATGGTAGAGATGTCACTGCTGCAATGATGACTATTTTAAAAGAAAAAAGAGTTCCCAAGCATTTACACGTTGATAGAGGCAAAGAGTTTTATAATAAAGATTTTGAAGGACTTATGAAACAGTATAACATTAAAATGTACTCAACATTCAGCAATCTCAAAGCATCAATTTGTGAAAGATTTAATCGAACTTTAAAAAACAAAATGTGGGTAGAATTCACTCATATTGGAAATTATAAGTGGATTGATTTGCTACCGAAACTATTATCATCATATAACAATACTAAACATCGTACAATTAAGATGAAACCTGTGGATGTAACTTCAGCCAATGAGAAGCAATTATTTGATACTGTTCACAGAAAGCTAAAAGATGTAAAAATTAAGAAGAAGAATAAGTTTAAAATTGGCGATAAAGTTCGAATTAGTAAATATAAACATGTATTCGAGAAGGGATATACTCCTAACTGGACGACTGAAATTTTTACTGTTAGTAAAGTCGAAAATACTCATCCAGTAACTTACAAATTGAAAGATTATCTGAACCAACCGATAGAAGGAGGATTTTATGAGGAAGAATTAACTGGAGTCCAATATCCTGATGTATATTTGGTTGAAAAAGTTCTAAAAAAACGTGGAAATCAAGCATATGTAAAGTGGTTGGGGTTCAGCAATGAACACAATAGTTGGATAAATGTAAACGATATATAGTTTATTTGACAAAAAATTAAACTTGTAATGATGACAAAAAACTTATAATTATCAGAAAAAATTATAATAGTGATAGGTTAACTTATAAAAGAACAATTATAACTTATAAAATAACAATTGAGATCATGAGCTATGACAATTGTAACTTATAACTATAACTTATAACTATGATATGTTGTAATTATTTCAATAAAAAAATATAAAAATTACGAATTTGTATTACTTTTTTTATAGCCCCATGGTACAGTATCAGTAGTTCCCTCTAATAATTGTCTTTTATTGTCTTGCCAACTCAAAGCTTTTTTTGAGCTAGGAACAGTACATACTTCATGTTTTTTACTGACAATGTGATATTCAATTTTGTTTAAAATTGTATAATCAAACAGGCATTTTTTGTAGTCATCAAATGTGATAGCTGTAACTGTAGCCTGCTTCACACCTTTAGCTTTTTTAACAACATTAGCTTTATCTTTATCTTTATTTTTATCTTTTTCTTCAATTAAAATAGTATAACTATACATTTTAGCTCTAAGACCAACAAATTCAGTCATAATTATTCCTTTATTCTCATCTTTCATTAAACCTAGTACCTTCTTATTCTTCCTAGGAATACCATATACATTATTTTCTGGATAATCAGAGGTATCATACATATGAATATCATGTTTTATATAGTCATATATGTTAACATTCATAAAATGATAAACTAAACTATCTGTATCAGTATATAGCAATTTAACATTATTTTTAAATGTTTTCTTAATATAATTATAATGAAAATCATAAATAAAAATCTTTGATAAATCGAGAATTGCAAAACCTACGTAAATTGGTTTATTAAACTTTATTTCAAGCTGATTCATTTCAATAATAACCATATCATCATCAAAAATGACACTGCTATGGAAATTCGGTTGTGATATTAGACTTTGTGCACCCCATCTTCCCTCCCATTTTGTAATTAATTTAATATCTTTATAATTACGCACATTTTCCATAGTTTTTCCGTAAACAGCGTTATTCATAAGTTTAAAAAAGTTTTTCTCGAAATCATTTTTGGACTTTTTTCTCATTTCTGTGTTCAAATCAATATATTTTTTCAACCAAGCTGACTGTTTAAACTGTAAAACTCTATGAATTTTAGTGATTTTCAAACCAAGTTCAATACATTGCTGTAAATTTCTATAGTGTATTACATATTCATTCTTTGGCAATAACGTTGTCATCAGCTTTTCACATTTGCTATCTGGTGGTTGCCAATGTTCAGGGCATAATGGTAAATCTTTATGGTGTTCATGTAATGATTGTGGATAATCTAAATCTACTTCAAAAATATAGCCAGTAGAAGAATTTTTAGGAATATTTAAAATTAAATTCTCAATATTGTTATTCAAATCAAAATTATCAGTAACCCACTCGAATGAACCAGTGGGTAAATATTCACTCATTGCAGCATCATAAAGATTATTCACATCAAAATACATCAGATATGATTCATCTTTGTTTTGATCAAATTTATCTCCCATGTAATGATTATTAGCTTTACCATATCTATTACTACATTGAGATACACCTCCTCTTATACCTTTCTCAATAAAATTCAACATTTCAACATCTTGTAAAGGATCAAGTTCTATTTCTGTGTATTTTAACATAGCATCGAAAGCTAGACCTGGTGCAGTTAAATAATGTAATGGATCAAGGTTATAAGCAGCTAGACAATCCTCACGAAAATTTTCAAAGATATCTGCTAATAGTAAAACATCAGTCTTCAAATATAAATCTGAATAATCACCTAAAGTCTGAAGTTGAAACTTATTCCATACAGTGAGTGCATGTTGATAATCTTCATCTGAAATGTTTGCATTATTCAACTTTGAGTAAAAAGCTGATTGAGCAGGAAGCTGAGTTTCATTAAGTTTATCCCAGTCATCTATATATTCATAGGGGAAAACACCTTTTCTCACTACCAATTTAAATTTTTCCAGATCATTGTAAAATCTTTTAGTGATATTTTTTTTATCATTATCTCAAAAAGATGCTAATTTATCAATACTGCTAGCCATGAATCTAAATGAATCTATGAATTGCAATTTAATGACTATTTCACAAGTCCTTTTTCTATTATTTCTACGAAATTTTTCTTCATCTTTACCAACTGTTTTGGTGAAAGCTATCTATTTTTCTTTATTGATTGGTAATAATTCGACTTTACCTTCAAATGATGTGAATGCCAATGATTTAATTAAAAAATGAGAATCATATCCAGAAAGATTGTGAAAAACAACAGGAATGATGTGAGAAGATTGATAATTTGAATTACATCTGTTATGTGCAGGACCACGATAAGCACCTGTGAAATGACAATGATCTTGAACTTTAATTTCTTTATTTAAAAAATTTTGATTACAAATATGACATTTTTTAGCATCATTATGAGCTTTCTGCTGCTGGGAAGTTAATGGTTTCATTGGCACAACATGTTTAATAGTGTCTTTTACATGTTCTGATAATTTTTTTAATTCTCCAATGAACCAATCAATGCAATCTACATCGCGTTTCAATGAAAAATAAGATTTAGATTTATCAAATGAGCAATGAGCATAGAAAGCAACACTGCATGGAATATGTTTCTGTTTAGTATCGTCCGGTTCAAGAATGCATTCCAGATCAGCATAAACAACAAATGGAACTTGTTCCTTATTTTGATGATTTTTGAATTTAATTTTTTCATCATTTTCAGGGAAAGTAATAGCAGTCTTATTCATTTTAATGCAATCTTCCCGATGATTATCGAAAGATTGTTGAAATTTAAAATGACACAAACATCTATTACACAGAAATTTTTTTGTTTTACCATTAGAAATTTGAGAACTAACCAATCTGGAGAGATCTTTGATTAAACAAAAATGATAGATAGGTTTTATATTATTATTATCAACTTTAACATTACTTTCTACCATCAATAAATGTATTCGATTTTCGCAAGGAAATTTACTTAAGTACAATGGAACTATTTTATCCTTATTATTTAATCCATAAACATTAATTGAAAGATTATTATCTAGTTCAAACGTTGGAATATCATGTAAGGATGTTGGACAATTAATACCTTGATACTTGAAAATCGTCCTAAAATCTGGATATGATGATGTGCTGTTTATGTTATTTTCAGCTGGAAATAGTGCTGCTGTAACTGCCCAAAGAAAGCAACATTGATCATTATTCTTGATATTTAGCACTGCTTTTTTATTTTGAATGAACTGTGGTAGAGCAATCCAAGTCGATTCTCCTGCTGCTAATGGATCATATCTATTAATATTGACTTGGAGATGAATGATTTCCACCATGGACCATCCTGAATCTCGCTCTTCAAAGTCCTCAACTTTTGCTAATAAAACATCAATGACTTTCTACACTATAATTCCTTCTAAGTCACTTGATGGCATAAATAGTTCAAAAAATCAATTCAAAAAATAACCAAAAAACAATTATTTTCAATAGGAAAAGTTGGATAGTTAAAAAAATTTTAGATAAAAATGAAGAAAGGTTAAATTAATGAAGAAAAATTAAAAATAATTGAGAAAATTACTTACTTTAGTTGATGATAATTCACAAGTGTCAAGTCCACTTTCTACAGTATTTCAAATGAAATAATCAATTTATTGTTCACTTTTAACAATATTTCAAATGGAATAATCAATTTATTGTTCACTTTAAATATTTTCACTTTTGACGATGCTGCATTTGCTAAGGCCACTAAAGAAATGTCCTTTGTCTTTCATCCCTAAGTTATGTGACGTATTTTTGTTTACAAGCGCGTGTGAAAAATTTTCCTGTAGATGCGCTAGTGTCGCATCTTTGTCTTACGCACACTATATACACTATGCGTTGTCTTTGTTTCTACCCATGCCGGTTGAGGCACTAGCATCAAAACAAACGCACGTGGTTCAACGCTTGTGTTGCCCCCTTCGTCTTACAAATAGATTTTATGGTGCATTCTATCTTTTTCATGCTTGTGCCTGTTAAAACATAAATATGAAAACAAACGCACGTGGTTTACCGACGTATTTGTTACATACCTATATATATTATGTTTATATTGATAAATTCATACATTTAAATTATATATGATATGAAATAGGTAAATTACATGCATATATCAGGAATAATTGTTAAATTATGTATGTTTTACAGGTTTGATTGTAATTTATCAATATTCCATTCAAGAAATAATATTTAATGAAAATATTTTCTACAGCATAAGACTTCTTGAAGAATTAAATTGAAATTAATTCAACTACATATTGTAAATGAATCATTTCTTAATTCTAAATGATGAAATATTAAAAAAATATTCAAGTTATTGAGAACATTACTCTATGGTTTGAATAATTATTTTAAATCAAGAACAAACATTATAGATAATATTGAAAATCATTTAAGATTATACTTTATTTAAATAGAGTAATAAAATTCAAAACGAAAAAAGATAGTAGAAGATATTGAAAGCATCATTCGTTCCATTCAATTGATATATATTTGAATGTGAATTTAAAAGGGTGGTTTTTAAATGTAACCCATCACAATTCACAGGGAATTTAAATATTGTTTTGAGCCACTAGAGGGCAGAAATGTACATCTATAGATCGATATTTTGTTTTTCAGTCGCTAGAGGGCAGGTATGTATATCGATAAATGAATTTTTCTGTTCTTCAGTCACTAGAGGGCAGATAGACCAACTCAAAATCATGCAAATGTTTCCCCTTACCAGATGGTTTATTAACTTCCCAGTGGGAAGTTATAGTAATGGGTCCGATTTTGCGAATCGCTAATTTTGACATATCTCCACGTTTTAAGGTCCCGCGAATCCAATACGACCGTTCGTATCTCGAGAACAAAAAATGATATCGATGTGGGACCAATTGCATTCGACGCGTAATTACGTAACTTATAACTGAAAAAGTTTTCAGGAAAATCGGTTCAGCCATTTTTTTTGCAGAACCGAGAAACTAGCAAAAATGGAAAATAACCTGAATTTTTCAATTTATAAATTGTACCATTTTTTAGACAAAGGTATGAAATCATAAAAAAAATATGAATATTAAATAATTAGAATACTTGTATGAAAATATGGTGATTATATTCCATCGAAAAAAAAAATTTTAAAAAACAAAATCAGCAATGAAAGAATTTTAAACTCGTGTCAAGATTGAGAAAACAGCATTAAAGACGCTATAATAGTCAATAATATGGAATTGTGTTTATAACAATTGAACATTGTTACTAACAAGTGATTATTGAAAATAGTAATATTTAAATAATAAGTTTTAAATTGTTATAAACAATAAAAATAGAAATCCATTCTATATACATGTGTACTTTTAACGCATGATTTTTTCTTTTACTGAAATAAAGTAACTAACTGTGTCAAATGAATAAAAACAGACTCATTTCGTTTATAACAATTCTATTTGTTATAAAAAATGGAAACAGGTTTTATTCGAATTGTTTTTTCATTTTTTCCACTGGGAAGTTGGTCGTGTGGACCTTTCGGGTCGCACCCAGAGCACTGATATTTGAAAACTTAAATTTACCCGGGCTTTTTGGTGGTGTAAAGTAAATTTGAACTTAAGATTCGATGTAAATATTATCGAATAACCTCAGAAAAATTAAATACATAAATGAAGTTGATTTATTTAAATACATTTATTGAAAATCAGACATAATACATAATAATATTCAAAGTGAAATACATCCATTAAATATTTTAAGTATAAGATAGTGTAATAATTCTGAATAAAGTAATTTTATATGAGTAAAAATTACATTATGAATTAATCGATTTGTTTTTCATATTTTCAATCTCTTTTTTAAAGTATAAGAAACTTTTCTGTCAACATATGAATCTCATCCAATGATAAACAATTAAAATCCATTCTAGCGTAGAGCTTTCTCAGCACTGGTCGCATTTTGTTGATTGAGTTAGAATCAAACCACATCTTCATTTTCCGTACATTTTTTAATGCACAATTTGAAGCTAAACTTGGTCCATGATGTGAAGAAGCATGTTCCCATCTTAGAAAATCTGGAATAATGTGTAATGATGGGCAATTCAAATCTTCCAAGTTAATCTCAGTTTGTCGATGATTCACAAACTGATGCATCCACTTTTTCTTTTCTCGACCTTTCACATAGATGAAATTAGCTTTGTCTATCACATCAACAATTACACCTGGCATATCTTTCTATGCCATATCACCAGAATCCCACTGAAGTCCATGGTAATTGCGAGTATACCACTGATTTATTGATTGAAATTTTTGCGGTAATAATTTCCAATTGAATGGTTCTTTAAAGAATAAACACAACTGATTTTGTAATGTTCCTTTCATAAAAATCACTGTCAATTCTTTCACAACAAATTGATTTGGAGGAGCTTTGAATCCCTGAATGTCAACGAAGATATCCATTATGTAGGTTTGATGTTGTCGGTTTAAGGGTTCCAAACTGATTGATACGACTTTACAAACGTACTTTATTTAAATTTTTAACGCAATAAATTTTATGACGTCACATCTTTTCTATGAAACCGGTCATCTGTTAATATTGTGATGAACAAAAAAGAAAGAAACTTCTATGACGTCGTTTGTTTTGAAAAAGCTAACAAAGAACGATAGAAATAAAATTTATGAATAATATTTTTCTGAGAATTAAAATATGACGTACTTTTTTCTGGGAATAAATCTTTTCAAAAGGAACAAAGGAAATTGCGTTGTTAGAAAATGTGTTTCACAAATCGACCGCTAGAGTAAAGGCTATATATAAAACAGAACAGATTTCCAACAAGTCAGTTTAGCTACAGAAATCGATGAACACATATCTAAGTGTACACGATTGAGTGAAATTGAAGAACATTGATTAGTGGATTGTTGATTGAAGTAAATATGGATACCATCGCCAGTACTGCAAATAATACTCAAAAACCAATGAAGAAAATAACAGAATTAAACACATCAAAAAAATACAAAGTGACAAAGTTAACGACAGTCTACTGGTGTGTAATCATACTAACTTTGGATGATGAATTCAATGTTACTTTTCTAGTACGGCATTTTGAAGATGATATTTTATTTGAACTCATACTGGCGTTTATAAAAGAAGATAGATTAGTACTGCAATACTTTGGTGGCGACTGCGATGATATCAAATTCTTCTACGAAAAACGTGAAGTCAACATCACAGAGGATTCCACAAAGCAAGGAGACAACATCTCAAAGGATTCTACAAAGCGAGAAGACAACATCTCAGAGGATTCTACAAAGCAAGTCAATTAATTTAACAAAATTACACTCAATTATGTCATCAAAATACAATTAAATTTATGTCAATGATTATAAAATAAATTTTTTCAAATTTAAATATCTTCTGACATTTATTTACAGCACCCTCTAACGAACAACCAATTAATTGCTAAGTTCTTCTTGAAAAAATTCAAATCTTGCACCCGCCACAACAGCAGCGCCACAGAACGGAGGAAAATGGTATTAATTAACATTCAAATCCGAATTTCAACCGCCAAAATAACAACACTATTAAGTAGTGAAGGTTGGTAACAGTTATCGCCTGGTAATTAACAACAGTTACCGACGAAAGTTTATAAAAATTTGAATTTCTTACCCGCCATAACAGCGCAATCTAGTGGAAAAGATCGATAATAGTTACCGCTTGAGATCGATAACAATTACCGGCAGATAATTTTTAAAAAAATTCAAATTTGAATTTTCTCCCGACACAACAGCAGCGCCGCCTAGATCGGTAACAATTACCGACTG